TGATCTCCCTTGGATGGAGGGCCCCCTTGGGACCCAGCCCACAAAGTACTGTTGCAACTCACATGGGCTAACTGCTTTTCCTGTCACCCGTTACTATGCTCAGATGGCCTAATCATACCCAATATGTGGCCCTCCCACCCTAACACTGAAGCAACTGTGGTTTAAAGTTCCCTGAGTTTTCAGTTAATGTTAATTGTTCAAAAACTTTGGGACATTATCTCTATTCCTGAACTTGAGAAACACAAGTTAAAAAAAAACCCAAACCATCAGAGCTAGAGGACATTCTGAAAAGGTACCCACTGCCCCTAAACCACAGCCACAATCTGGCCCAGAAATCTGCATACACTTTGCTCACCTGGTTGGCACCTTACTCAGCTCAGTTACTGTTCAATGACTAAATCTTTCCTACAACACTCTTGGGAAGTGGGAGCGTATTGTGTAGGGTTTTAAGGTATCCTTCCTCCTAGAGGGCTGTTGCATTTCCTTATTTTAAGTTCATTGTCTAACACTTTGGTTACTTTCCAATCTGAAATGCTTTAGGATTAGGGAGCAGCCTATACACTTGCTTCTCCTACCCTATGCCTCCTCAGAAGTCAAATTCGTATCAATGCATACAAACAAGCAAACTATAGAAAAGCAATCCTTGCTCCGGGGAAAACTAAGAGTTACAAGTATAACTTGTAATCAAGTATGACTTGAAGAATAAGGGGAAAGCACTCTTCTCCAAATATAGTTTTTAACTCTAGATCTGTGTCAGATTGTTTCTTTTTTTTTTTTTAAATGTTTTATTTATTTATTCATGAGAGTCGGGGGGGGGGCAGAGGGAGAAGCAGGCTCCCTGCCTAGCAGGGAGCCCGATGTGGGACTCGATCCCAGGACCCTGGGATCATGACCTGAGCCAAAGGCAGACGCTTAACCATCTGAGCCACCCAGGCACCCTGTCAGATTGTTTCTTGAAGGCAGACTTTGATTAAGAGGAAGGTCGAGGGACACCTGGGTGGCTCAGTGGGTTAAGTGTCTGACTCTTGATCTCGGCTCAGGCCTTGATCTCAGGGTCGTGAGTTCAACCCTGCTGGGCGTGGAGCCTACTTAAAAAAAATAAAAAAAAAAAAACAGGAAGGTGGAAAAGCAAAAAAAAAAGTATAGAAGAAAGGGACAGGTATACCAGCAGGATGTAGAAAATGGTAAAGCCTATAGAGACAATTAACACACACACACACAATTTTCTCTAGGACTGGCTTTACAGAAGGAAAATAAAAACTCCTTGGGGCACATAATCAAAGTTTCTGGGGGCACTGTACAAAGGCTGGGCACACTAGAGCCTTCTAAAGCCAGTAAGGACAAATTCAATTAATAAGGTAGTAGAATGAAATGTCCCAACTGTACTGAGGTTTTAGAGCAAACAATTTCAAATCCAGAGAAACTTGAGAGTTTTCTCACATCACTACAGAAAGACAGATACAGAGGCCCTTTAGGAGAACCATCATCATCTTTTAGGTTAATGAAAGGACAGTCATATAATCTGAACATGCACAGACCATGAACCAGAAGATAGAGGTCTCAAATTCCTCACTTTAGCAAAGATCCAATAATTCTCCTAAACAAATGATTCACCTAATGTTCCTTTCCTGCCCATAAGAGAGAAAAAAGTACTGGCCATCTATTTGGGCATTTCCTAGGATACCCAGTGCACAACTGGGGGCAGGGGGCACTGTGTGTGTGTTTTAAGGATAACCTAGAGTACACCTATTTGTCTGATTTTGATAGAAGGAAGACAAAATGAGCGTGAAAGGAGCACAATAAATAACAGAGTATCATTCCAGAAGGGAAAACTGGAAAGAATGCGAGGCCAGAGTTTGGTGAGAACATGAAAACAGAATTGCCTTTGGTGGCACATCCCCAAAGCAAAGTGAGATTAGTCTGATCTGCTGTCTCTAGTCTCTGACCTTTTTGGACAAATGAGAGAGGAATATGTGGGAAGATTTACACTTTGTACACTTCTGTACATCCTGAATATTTTAAAATATGTACATATTACTTTTGTAATTCAGAGGAAATGTAGTTATAAAATACATTTGTATAAAAGGGTAAAAGGAGGAAGTATAATAAGGGAAAATCCAATAAACTCCAATCTATGGGGGACTAAAGAAGTCAGCAGACCATTAAAAATACATGGGGGAGGGCAGACTCCTATGCTTTAGCAATCCATCTTCTTTTTCTCTACTCACCCCCTTCCTCAAATGCCTCACTGTTGAGGCATTTGACCCAACTTTCTAATAGCCCAGAAACCTGGGCTCCTGAAGGAGACAAAGAACAGGGGTGATGCCAACCTTCTGGAATGGAATTTCTCACTCTTCCTCAAATCCGTTCCTCAGTGATATCACCTCTTATTTCCAGGCTTGGTTCCACCTAACCATTACCTGCCTGGGAAATACCCAAGTGTAAGTCCCACAAAGTTTCACCAACTATGGTCAGAAGATCTCGTGGCTGGGGATCTCTAAGCCCCTTTCAAGTGCGGATAATAAAATCACTGATCCCCTGCTTCTAGGTCAGAGATACAGTATCCACCATAGACCAGATTATTAAACAAGAAAGAAACAAACACACCCCAAATCCAACTTCTCAGCTCTTTCACAGGACTGCACCCTAACCCAGCTGAGACTGGTAACAAGAAACAGATACTGCACCCTAAACCAGTTCAGGCCAAGGGAAAGTGTAGGGGCTGAGTGTGGAACAGCGAACAGCCACAGAATTTTTTTTTTTTTTTTAACTTTTGTCTTCATTAGCTACCCCGGGAGTACCCAAAAACTTCAGGTTACCACATCTCGATACGAAGAGGAACAAAAGAGTGGGTCCTCCAAGACCCAGATCCTCCGGCCCACCCTTGAGCATTCCCAGAAGCTCCTGTAACTGATACCAGGCCCTGGGGGCACTTCTCCAACTAGTCTTCTAGATTAGTAAAGCTTTCGTCTTTTGCCTCCGTTCTCCCTCAATGAACCCAAATCCCTCTCGGCTCAACTCAGGGGCACCCTAGTTATTTTTATAATAGTCACTTTCCCTGAAGAGAATGCCCCTTACCCAACTAGGAAGCCTTCTCAGGCCCTTCCAATTAGTCATTTCGAGACCCCCAGCCGGGTTACCCTCGCAGCCCGGACGTCAGGTTTGACCCCTCCTCACCTCCCGGCAAATGGGCTTACCTCACCCATGGCCCCAGCCCTTTCCCCCAGCTCCTCCCTCTTCAGCGCTGCTCAATGAGGCCTGCCTCTGCCCTCACACAGCCCGGGGCCTCCCGCGCTGGCCCCTGGCCCGCCAACAGAACCCGGCCGCCTCCCGGCCTCACCAACTTCGGGCTCCCAGCCCGCCCGACCCCCTCCTCAGCGCCCCCATTAGGCCTGCCGGGGTCCGGCCCCCTGCTCCCCTCTCCAGTGGGCCACTCTGACCCCTCGCTGAGGCCCAGACCCGCCTCTGCTCTCAGGCCAGGCTGCTCTCCTCTCCCGGGCGCCTCCGCCCCTGCCCTTATAGGCTCCATCAGCCCGGTACCTGGGGCTCCGTCTCCCCCGTCGGGCCCAAGCCTGTGTCGAACAGACAAACAGCTGCAGCTCAACCAAACCCTCCTGCCCCTCCTCCTCCTCTCGTCCTGGGGCGGGGGCCCCAGCCAATAGCACGATTACCCGCCTACCATCAAGGGTGGGCGATGTGTGCACTAATCCGCCAATCCTCTGGAGAAAGGCGGGCCTCTCCCGGCGCTCTCACCAACGAGTACGAGCGAGGGACTGGACAGGCGGGGCCCCAGACCAATATAGAGAGGGAAACTCTGAAGATGGACGAGGAGAGGAGCCATTAAAGAGCGAGCTTTCTGAAACGGAGGGCGGTGCACTGCTGATAGGCGTACATGTTAACCAATAATATCTCGACACCCTCATGACCCCGCCTTTTGACTCATAAACATCTAATCAGGTGAGTGATGGAGGCGGGTCAAAGTGAAGCTTTAACCAGTACTGGGAAGATTCGAAACTTGAATGGCAGGCAAGGCGGGGTTGAAAGGAGCCTTAGGAAGGCCGCTGCTGACCTTCGCCCCTCCCCCTGGATTTGGCGGGGGCAGACCCTGGGGCCCTGCACTCTATGACAAATTGGCGGCGTAAAGAGAAACATCTCACCTGAGGACCCGGAGCCTGGGAATTTAAGTGGCACTCTCGTCGATGCGGCCTCCTTTTTGTGGGGCCCCAGAGGACAGGAATTTTTGGGGTGGCCGGCGCCGGCGGTCTGAGATGTATTTTGGTGGGGCTGAGACCGAGGCAACTCCAAGAGGTGGTAGCTTGGGGAGACTTTAACCCCTTCCATAATAATTTGTCATACAGACAACTGATATATTCTGAGTCGTATATAAATGTGATTAAAATATCTTTAGAAAACTGTGATGTGCAACAAAAAGGAAAAACGACGAGCTTACTGGGAAATTCAGTGTCAAGGCGAATTCCCATGGAGCCCACGTCCAACCACTTTGCTGTTCCTAAGTCCCTCCTAAGTCTCTGAAATTCTGGAACTGCCACCTTGTATGTATATGTATGTGGGGTGTGTGTGTGTGTGTGCAGAGGATGATTCAGGTTTGTGGGGAAAGTGAAGTAGGTTTCCATTTCTCTGACAGTAAAATGGGGGCAACAATTCTCATTTTGCCCACTTTGGGCACTATCCCAATTGCATAAAAGAGGCCGAATTGGGGTGAGGTGGGTAGCCCTGCACAGAGAGATTAGGAAAAGGGGAGCTCTGAAACCAACTATCACATATTCTCTCACATCATTCTTTCAGTAAATATATAAGTAAAGGAGGAAAGAGATGAACTATAAAACTAGGAACTTTTGTTTTTAATGAATTACAAACTAAATTACAAATAATGTTAATAGCAAGAACACTTGAAGACAAGAGGTGGGAGAAGAGAGAAAAATCATAAAAAGAAAAAAATACTCTTTTTTTAAACATTCGCGTTACAAAATCCCAAGGTGCGCATGGCAACAAATCCACCCATTCCCACTTAAAAAACTACTATAACCTAATGAAATATAAATATAATTGTTCATCCTTCTTTTAAAGAAAAAAATTTTCCCAATGCCCTCACTCAATCACAGCCCTAAAAAAGTGTCAGCATTCTCAAAATGATGTCTAAACCCTAACTTCCACTCCTATGGGGTGGCCTTCAGAGGAAGAAGGGACCTGGGACATGAAGAACTAAGAATCTTAAAAGGAAGAGAAACATTGAAACAACTTTTCCTTGCCTCATAAGGCCACAGTGAAGCACAATTCCTGTCCTAGAGCTTCCCAGACACCTCTTGCCCATAGGAGGGACAGAAAGGGGGTTCTAGGGGCAATCATTTCTACTGCAGTCCCATAAGGACTGCAGAGACTGGGAGTCTTGAGTCTCCTACACTGTTAGGTGAGATGAAACACTAAAACTAGGGTATAAATTGGTTGGTCTATTTTTTAACCTAATTCTTTAAAACAGGCCCCTTCCTATGTTTTTGTTTTGCTTGGTTTTCAAAAGTTCCAACTTAGGTCCTCTGCTATCAGTTGGCCTTACAAACACAGTGGTCGCAGAAGGCTTGGGGTGTCTGTCTTCCCAAACACAGGAAATAATTTCAGGGCTTTCAGAGATTGGGAAGGCAAACCCTATGGGGCGGGGGGGGGGGGGGGGCGGTTTTTTTTTTTTTTTAAACACCAGCCCTCCTCATCAATGACTAAGAGGAGGAGGAGAGGGTGGTGGAGGGACTTAAGTGCATCTAATACTGAAGCTTCCTTTCATTTTCACCTATTTCTCCCCTCCACCCTTTATATCCCCAGAGTTGGCTGGTTAAGAAGGGGAGGTGGGTGTTAAGGCAGCCAGACAAGATCAGAGGGCAAATAGCCCAGGGCCAAGCCAAATCAGGCCCCTGCTGGAGGAGAGGATGAGACTTGAGGTAGGGGCTGGGGGAAGGACGTCAGAGTCGAAGGTGTGGTACTGGCTTGGTCACATCCTGGAAGAAAGGGTGAGCCAGAGCTGCCTTTGCCGAAATCCGCTTGTTGGGGTCGTAGTGCAGCATTTGCTGGAGGGAGAGATGTATGTTGACTTCAGTGATGTGACAGTGGACTAAATGGGCAGCAGGTGTTCCAAGAAATCAGGAAACCAGAATTCCTTTTACCCAAGACAGAGTTCCCAATTCCCTCCTCCCTATACTTGAACGGGTGTGCCAACAGGGAGAGAGAGAAGCAGGGGCTAGGGAAATGCCAAGACCCAAAGTCCAGGGTCTCATCCTTCCCTCATCCTGGAAAAAACCTGCCCTGGGGAAGTAAATGAGAGGAAATGGGTGCCCATCCCCAACTCTCACCGATAGCAAGCTCCGTCCATCTTCATCCAAGGGAGGAACAACTTTGCTAAAATCTTGCCGGGCCCACTTGGGGAAGCTCGGCTTATAATCAGGCATAGAAGTAACTCCCGGCCAAACCACTTCATCTGGGGTCCCCAGAGTCCGAAAGATCCGGAAAAGTTGGTCAATTTCAGAATCTCCAGGGAATAGGGCCCGGCGGGTCACCTGAAAATGGGGAAAGAGAAAAGGCCAAGACCCGTACTCATGTCAGTCAAAGCTGCTCCCTGTGCAATGAGGTTCCCACAGGCAGTGGAAGGTCAGCAGGGCCCCATGACTCCCTCCCCAGGGCCTTTCATGGGGTCAGTCACACAGAGCTTGAGACAATGAAGTCCCTTCATCTGTCTCCTCGCCCCCTCCTTCCTTCCCCCAACCATGCCTTTGCAGATCCCCAAGGCTGGGTGGGGCTGGGAGGGGGTGAATGTCTGGGGTGCCACTGACATGTAGCAAAGGGATCCCAAGCCACTCACGGGGTGTGGGGTAGACACTGCGGTCATCCCCCCTCCTTGTGATGCAGCCACTTCTAGATAGGAGCACAGCGGGCAGAGACTGTGTCTTCCATTTCTTCTGTGTTCCCCACAGCACCTAGCATGGTGCTGGGTACACACTAGGTGCTTAACAAATATTTTTTGATGAATTGAGAGAGGAATATGGGCAATTGTAAGGTAATGTACTGGGGGATAAATGCACATTTTATATACAGGCTAATGGTTTCTAAGCCCCCAGTTACAACCCAGATAAAGGACCATAAAACAAATTGCAGATTTGATTTGAAAATGCAGCCCACTCCACTGTTATATTAAAGGGGATGGGAGCTCCCATAAAAGGCTGGGCCTCAGGGATCCTTCATTCTGAAAAGCCAGAAGTTGAGGGGGACATGATTTAAGTCTGCAGTTTAAATAAAAGGTATGGATGGATAAGGTGAATACAGTTGGTTTCACCATATTCCTGGAACCCTACAATAAGGTCTACAGGCCAAATGAAGGAGGCACTGAATGGCAGGTACTCATTCTCCCAAATATATGCAAACTAAAGCTAAAACAGCTGCAGAAATGATTTAGCTCAATTCAGGGGTAAAGATGTGTTTTGAGTGCTAAGGACGTTTGAGGCTATACTAACATTGTGGTTGGCATCAGGGACAACAGTCCTATCCTTTCCCCCCTACCTGCCTTGATGCTACTCTAGAGAAAAAAAAACCCTGTGATAATAGAAGGGCCACGGGTCTAGGCAAAGAAACAGTTGTGTTGTTCTTGAATGTGGGGAGGAGTGAGCTGGGTGGAACTTGGGCTTGCCTCCGTACCATTTCAGCAAAGATGCAGCCCAGGCTCCAGATATCTACAGCTGTGGAGTAGTACTTGCAGCCCAGAAGGATTTCAGGTGCTCGGTACCACAGGGTCACCACCTGGGGACAAGAGCAGGAAGGGGAGGGGTGGTGCATGGGGCATGGTGATTCCCACATCTCAGCTCCTCAGTGTTACTCTGCTAACTCTCAGCCTGTTAACAAGCAGCTTCTCCCCCTTCATCTTTCCCATCTTTCTGACTTCCCCTCAGTAAAATGTATATACAACTTCTTAGACCAGAGTTAGCCTCGCCTGTGACTCTGAGGACCATATTTTCTGAACCCGCAATTTGCAACCTTCCTGGAAAACTTGAGACAAATGGTCATAATTTTAATGGTGTGCCATCCAGCTCTCCTGGCTTCATATCTATCAAAGCCCAGTTAGCCCCACAATGTGAACTTGGTGCATACCCTAAAACCTCTTGGGGTAGCCAGACATACTTTCCATCTAGTGAGAGAGAAACTGCTGACCAGATAGGTTTAGTAATTTTGTGAATGTCCTTGTTAACACCTCCCAGGAAGTTCAGAGAAGAAATGCAGAGAGGGTCTCACCTCATGGGTGTAAGTACGAACAGGAACTCCAAAGGCTCTGGCTAGTCCAAAGTCTGCTAGCTTGATGGCCCCCTCTGCGTTGATAAGCAGATTCTGAGGTTTGAGGTCTCGGTGCAGAACCCGATGAGAATGGCAGAAGGCTAGGCCCTGAAGCAGCTGGAACAGATAACTCTGACAAAGGAGAGAGAGAGGACTTTGTTCCTCCACCACAGTGAGCTATTAGGGTCTACTCTCTGACTGCAAAGCTCAACTAAAGCCTTTTACTATATTAGATTATAATTACATGTTTATAAGCTGTATATCCCATTGGAGTGAGAGGCCCTTCCAGTGAAGACAAGAACTAGGTCTTATTCAGTTTTGCATTTCTTTTCCATATCCTGTGCCTAGCACATTGAAGGTGCTCAATAAATGTGCACTGAATAAACGTTTGTTGGTAGATTGAAAGTAGCTCGGGGAGTAAAGAACCCAGCCCTAAAACAGACAACAGAGACTCACTGGCTATTTCTCCTACCAAACAAGTGGAAGGGCTTCTTGGAGGAATCTACCAAGTGCCCTCAAGTCCCATTTATCTGAGTTTCATCTGACTTTCCACCTGAGCTACAAAGTTGACTCACTAGAGTTTCAACTTCTTTGATTGTCCTGCCCAGCCCAGGGGTTAATAAGCATAATGAGCAGTGAAAGAGCCACAAAACAAAGGTATGTGTGTGTGTGCATGTGTGTGTAGGAGGATGAGGGCTGGGAAGGAAGCCAAGATCACAAATCATCCACTCAGTCTGAATTGCCTGCCTTCAGTCCCCCCAAAATTTGCCCATGTTGGGGAGGAGTTGTTGAGAAGGGTTACCTTGATGAGGGGAAGAGGAATGCCAGTCAAAGCAGAGGCATCCATAAATTTCTTCAGATCCTGATGCAGAAACTCAAAAACCAGGTAGAGTTTGTTTTCTGTGTGGATGACATCCAGCAGCCTGGGAAGAGAGGTCCAGGAATGGAGGTGAGGAAGAGTAATACCCAGGCTACACAGACAGAACACATCCTCCTTTACTGCCAGAGCACCGCCCAGATACATACTTACTTGACAATGTTAGGGTGGTTAAGCTCCTTAAGCAGAGAGATCTCTCGTATAGCAGTACTGGGTACACCCTCCGTCTCACTTGGAGAGGTTGAGAGAGCAGAGATAGGAATGTGGTTACAAATACTCCTTTTCCCCCAGCCCAGTCATTCTTTTCCTCCCAATGAGACACCACCCCAGCATCCCCTAGGAAAGTGAGAAAAGAGAAGGGGTGCTGTAGGAGTTAATTCATGGGTGGACAGGGAGTGGTTTTTTAATACATTAAGGTCATTATTTCTTCTCTTCCCAGGGGTAGGTAAGTAAAGCCTTCTGGTGGAAGTGAAGAAGAGAGAAGGTAACAGGGAAAAAATAGGAGTAGCAGCACCCAGCCTCCCTAGAGGGGCCAGTGAGGTTCAACTGCCATTCTTTTGAAAGAAGTAGAGAATTCTAAGATGAGGGTGGGGTTGGGGGAGTGAGGAGGGCTCTTCATTCAGAAAGGTGCTCTTCACCGGTTCCCCCAAAACCCAACTCCACGGGGAGTCCTGGACCCCATCTCAGAGGCCTCCTTCCTCTTCCTGACTCTTCCTGACTGCAGATTTGGGGGCATCACTCGGCTTTGGGGAGGAAGTTTCCCACAGATTCTACAGTGCCCTATACTCTCCACAGGGAAACCCTTCACTGTCCTCCAACCCACCTCTCCACTTCAAAAGAAGTCCCTCCCTGCTACCTTCCGGTCCTTGGACGGCTACCCGTCTGTTGGGGTGGGGGCGGGGGGGCACTCAAGGAGCTCCCGAGTTAGAGGAGTCCCGGGTACAGAGGCCACTCACGTGTCCAGGCGGATTTTTTTAAGCGCCACCACTTCTCCCGTCACCTTGTTTTTGGCTTTGTACACAACTCCGTACGTGCCCTCTCCGATCTTTTCCACTTTTTGGAAGTTCTCCATGAAGCGCTAGCGAGTCGGGTCAGCCCGGCCCTGGAGCTGGGGCCTGGGAACCCTGCAAAAGGCGGGCCCCGGCTCTCGGGGGGGTGGAAGAGGGGGAAACAGGGCCCAGCTCTGCGGCCCCAGGTCGGAATGGAACGGAGTGTATCTCTCGCTCTTGTCAATTTGTCCAACTTGAAACAATGTTGCCGCCTCCCCTCCAGTTCCCTACCGCCACCAGAGGCCCCGCCCCTCCTTCCCGCGTTTCCCTAGCCCCGCCCCCAGCCCTTCCTATTGGTCAACGTCAGAGCGGAGGGGCGAGCCCAGCGCCCCTAGCTGCCGCAAAAGGCCCCACCTCGCGCAAGTTTAGTTCCGAGGATCCTTAACACAAGTTTCTGTCTCGGTGGGGAATACAAATGTCTTTTTCCAAGTACCTGATTTGAAGTCGAGTTTCTTACCTGTGTGCTGAATCTGTAGGGATTTCCTGATCTCTAATTCGCCGTTTCACCAACCCTAGGGAAAATGTGTCTCGCCCTAAAATTCCACCTGGCCCAGAGAGTCTCCCTTGAAAAGCAGGAAGCTAGGAATCTCATTGTCTGGGTTTTCTGGGCCTTGAAGATGTTCGTCCCGCCTCTCTGCCCATCCTATACTGTCTCTCTGTTTTGGGATGCAGGGCCTCTCTTTGAGAGGTTTCCTGGTTTAACTCAAAAAACAGACTGATTCACTAGCCTATGATGAATTATATGTGTCCGGTACATGTTATGTAGCTGACCTTCAATCAATTATTTCCCAGTCAAGAAGGGAGTGACCCAGTGAAACCAGAAACTGTCATTGAGTAGCGGGATGTCCAGGGACCAGGATCCCTTGTCAGTTCTGCCTTTCTCCGGTCCTCCTGCCCCTCCCAAGCCTCTCCTGGAGGAAGGGCTATGCAAATGAGCACCCCTCTCCTATATAGGGGCTTCTCCCACCCCCCCCCCCCCCCCCAGCGCCTTTGGTTGCTGGAAGAAAGAACAAGATGAATCTGGTGCTGAGAAAATGCCTTCTCCATATGGCTGTGATGGGTGCTCTTCTGGCTGTGGGGGCCACAGAAGGTGAGCGTCGGGTGTGTGGACTTGAACAAGTGTGAATTTGGGGTTGCACACCTACTCTGGTTTTTCCCTTCCTCATGGGAGATACCGGCAATATTTCAGGCTTCTCCCACCCATTTGATTTAGCGAGGACATGGGCATCTGAGTTCCCTCCCTATGTGGAGATTTGGTACTGAGCTTGAAAATAATCCCATCTGCTTGGAAGGGCAAAAGGATAGTGGGTCTCTGTGGCCCTAACTCTGAGGCTCCCTGGGCAATAAGCTGGAGAAGGGGCTTCAAAAGGGAAATAAGTGGAAGACTGAGGGAATGACTCAGGCACTTGGGGTAGGCTATTTTAAGTGAGGAGTAAGAGAATGTCGTATTGGATAGAAAAGGTAAGGAGGTACCATCTCCCCTCTCTGGGATGGGGATGGGTGAACACAGCTCAGGCTTTTGTTCTGGGGCTGGAAGAGACAGGCAGAGGGGTCTCAGCTGAGCATCACATGAAAGGGCTCTGGGGGATTGGGGCCTCGTGACAGGAGCAAGGGGTGGGGGTGGGGATGGTGAGAGGGTCTGGAATGTCCCGTGCTGCTCTGAGGAGGGAGGGTTGGGAGTGAAGAAAGAATGGGGTATCTTATGATTCTCTTGCTCTAGTGGTGGGATGCTCAATGAGATGATTCTAGATCCCCACCCCCACCCCCAGCAGACTCAGCTAGGTTTCCAGTACACATTACAAATGGAGTGAAGATAGTTTCTCCTGTGCTAAAGTACAGATATCATGTCCCAGTCTCCCCTTTCTCTCTCTGGATCCATGGTCTCACAGACTTCTAGGAAGTTCTCGTTGATCTGACTTCCCCTCGTTTATGCTGCAGTTTCAAGTCTTTTTCTTTTACTATTTCCTTAATGTATTCTGGAAACATTCTGTTCGTGCCTGTCCACCTGAGCCTCTTAAAAGATTGTGCTTACTTTTTGGATACTGATTTTTTAAATCATAAGAAGACATTTTTAGATATTTATGAAATTTTATATGAATTGGGTTTGATAATTTTGTCCAGTGTGAAATGACATTGTGCCTATTCAAGAAAATGCTCATATTTTTTATAGATACGTATTGAAATTGTAGGGTTAAAATAACAAGACGTCTGGGACTTGCTTCTAAATACTTTAGCCAACAAACAGACAACAACAAAGGATAGATAAAGCAAATGTGGCAAAATGTTGATAGTTGTTGTACCTGGGTGAGGCGTATATGTAGATCCATCTTATCCCTTTTTCTCAGACCTCTCTCTTGGTCAGTTATAATAATTTTGTCTGCTTGGTCCCCACTCCCAACCTCTGCCTGCCTCTGATCCATCCTCTACATTGCTTGCCATAGTGATCCTTCTAAAACCCAGATCTGGTCATATTCAAAAAGCTTCTGAAGGGTGAATTTTATGGTATATGAATTATATCTCAATGAAACAAACACAATCTCCTGTGGTGGCCTTGCCTAGAGAATAAAGGCCAAACTCCTTTGCTTGGCACTCAGAGCCTTCACTTGTCTTCTTGGCCTCATCTCTTACAGTGTGCATCAACCACACTGGTAGTTCCTATCATGCCTCATGCTACCATGCCTCCATGCCTCCGCTTGTGCTGGTCCTTCTGCCCAGAATGCTCCATCCCACAGGCCAACTCCTCACTCCAATGGTCTTTCCCAATCTGCCAGAGTAGAACTAATCTCTTTAGTCATTCTGTTGCACTTTGTGCATGTCTGTTATGGCTTATATTAAACAGTGCCTTGAATTATTATAATTTATGGACATGTCTTGAATCCCTTCAGGGCCATGTCTTATTCATTTCTTAAGTCCTTTGTACCTAGCACAGTGCCTGGTACATGGTGGCTATTCAGTAAATTAAAATGTACTTTGAATGTGAGAGTGAGTGGGGTGACATGGAACAGGGCTATCCCCTGACAAGAGATTGAGGGGTGATCGTAGGGCCTTCATGGTATCTTCTTTTTAGGACCCAGAGACCAGGACTGGCTTGGTGTCCCAAGGCAGCTCACAACTAAAGCCTGGAACAGGCAGCTGTATCCAGAATGGACAGAAATCCAGGAGCCTGACTGCTGGAGAGGTGGGAACTTGGCAATTTCTAGGGAGGGCATGGGGTGTGGAGAGGAGCAAGATCTGGGTTGAATGTAGCTTGGAAAGATAGGAAGGGGAAAGGTATAAGGGGAGGAAAAACCGTGGCGTCCCGGCTAATGCAGCTGGTCCTTCCCAGGTGGCCAGGTGTCCTTGAAGGTCAGTAATGATGGGCCTACGCTGGTTGGGGCAAATGCCTCCTTCTCTATTGCCCTGCACTTCCCCAAAAGCCAAAAGGTGCTGCCAGATGGGCAGGTCATCTGGGCTAACAACACCATCGTCAATGGTGAGTACCTCTCTACTCCAGGCCTTTATGCCAAGGGCTCAGATTTCCTGGTGTCCCCCGTGAGCTCAAGGAGTGCCCCCTTCCCCTCTACTTTTTATTTATTTGTTTGTTTTTTTAAGTATTTTATTTGTTTGACAGAGAGAGTGAGAGAGGGAACACAAGTAGGGGGAGTGGGAGAGGGAGAAGCCAGACTTCCCACTGAGCAGGGAGCCCGATGTGGGGCTCGATCCTAGGACCCTGGGATCATGACCTGAGCCAAAGGCAGACGCTTAGGGACTGAGCCACCCCCCTTTTTTTAGCGCCCCTACTTTTTCTTTTAAACAAATTATATACATATTCTATAATATTCATTGCAGAAAAAATTTTAAAACACAGATAAAGCAAAAAAAAAAAAAAAATACAGTATGCAAAATTGGCGACAGAAGACCCAGTGGACCTAGAGTTTAGACAGACATGGATTTAAATTTGTAAATAATATGTTACCCTGGGCAGGTAACTTAACTGTTCTGTGCTTCCATTCCCTTAACTGTACAATGGGATGACTACCTTGAATGTTGTTGTAAGGATTAAAATGCGATAATATATAAAGAATTTAGCATAATGCCTGCCCTAGGCTAAGGTGAGGCTCAATAAGTGTCAGCTGATACTCTTATTTTTATCCCACCAGCTAGAGCAAACCACTCTAAACATGTTGCCATATGACCTTCCAATCTCTTTCCTCTGTCTGTCATTAAGTACATATTAATCTTTAATTCCAGTTTCCATCCTTTCCGCTATCACCCCAAATGGGTGATAACAAAGGGAATGTCCTATGTAGCTAAGGAGTGTTCCCACAGCCCCTCTCTGGCAGCCATGGTAGGGGTTTTGGTGTATAGAAAGGAATGCCAGGTTTTGAGGGTGACTGTATCTACCTTTCAGGGAGCCAGGTGTGGGGAGGACAGCCAGTGTATCCCCAGGTACCTGATGATGCCTGCATCTTCCCTGATGGGAGGGCCTGCCCATCTGGCCCTTGGTCTCAGACAAGAAGCTTTGTTTATGTCTGGAAGACCTGGGGTGAGTCATCCACTTTTGGATTTACCTCTTCCTACCTGATCCCCTTTCATTTTGCTCTGTGAGTTTCCTTCATCTTTATTGCCCCCATGTCTCTTTCCTCTTCGATAGCACCCAGCCCCCTCCAACTCTCTCTACTATAGTTGTTTCTGGGGGCCCTTCCCCAATTATTGTCCTATCCCATGGACCCCTTATCAGGATTCCTTTCCTGACCCCCACAGGACCACCTTCCAAATACTCTCTGAAATAACGATACTCAGTACATTACTGGACCTTCCTTCTCTGGTGCCCTGTCTCTAATCCTTCCCCTCAGTTTCCCTTGATCAGTACCACCCCCACCCCTGCTTTTCTTTTCAAAAACCTCAGGCCAATACTGGCAAGTTCTGGGGGGCCCAGTGTCGGGGCTGAGCATTGTGACAGGCAACGCAGTGCTGGGCACACATACCATGGAAGTGACTGTCTACCACCGCCGGGAGTCCCAGAGCTACGTGCCCCTTGCTCACTCCTGCTCAGCCTTCACCATTACTGGTAAGGATTTAGGAAGGGGCAAAGCCAGTCACAGGGTGCAGGGCGGTAGAAGATGGGGAGGCTTGGTCTGACTGGAAAGGGGAAAGGGGAAAATGGAATGGGGAAAGGGGAAATGGTGTGTAACCTTAAAGGGGCAGAGCCAGGAAGACATGGGCAGAAGGATGTAGGGGCTTGGAGCCAGTGAAGGGCCAGTCAGCTTGAGTTGGAGGGTGTGACTGTGAAAAAAGCTGTGGCCCAGGTCTGGTTCTCACCTTTTCTGGCTCCAATCCCAGACCAGGTGCCCTTCTCCGTGAGTGTGTCCCAGCTGCAGGACTTGGATCGAGGGAACAAGCACTTCCTGAGAAATCATCCTCTGACCTTTGCCCTCAGGCTCCATGACCCCAGTGGCTATTTATCTGGGGCTGATCTCTCCTACACCTGGGACTTTGGAGACCATACTGGGACCCTGATCTCTCGGGCACTTGTGGTCACTCACACTTACCTAGAGTCTGGCCCAATCACTGCCCAGGTGGTGCTGCAGGCTGCCATTCCTCTCACTTCCTGTGGCTCCTCCCCAGTTCCAACCACCACAGATGGGCATGTGCCAACTGCAGAGGCCCCTGGCACCACAGCTGGGCAAGAGCCTACTGCAGAAGTCGTAAGTACGACACGTGGTCAGGTGCCAACTGCAGAGCCCTCTGGAACCACAGCTGTGCAGATGCCAACCACGGAGGTCACTACGCTTGTACAGGTGCCAACTACAGAGGGCATAGGTACTACAACTGAGCAGGTGCCAACCTCAGAGGTCATAAGTACCACACTTGCAGAGACCATAGGTACAACACCTGAAGGGTCAACCGCAGAGCCCTCTGGAACCACAGTTGCACAGGTAACAACTAAAGAGTCGGTGGAGCCCACAACTGGAAAGGTACCCCCACCTGAGCCTGAGGGTCCAGATGCCAACCCATTCATGCCTCCAGAAGGTATTACAGGTAAGAGGCCAGTGTGAATGAGGTTCATCGAGGTGGGGCCTTTGTCACTACTCTGAAGAGCTAAAAGCCTTACCTAAGCCCCAGTTGTTACCCAATCCTTTGCTTAGCAATGGAGTCCCGTCAGAGCTCCCACTAGTTTTAAGACCTCAAGTCCCTCTTAATAACATGGAATAGATCTGGAGTTCAGGAAACCAGGGTCTTTCCCTAGGCCATGGAGTGAGAGCTTGTTGCTTCTCTGTCTCTGAGGAGAGCTATTCCCTAAGGAGAAGGCCAGGAACCAGAACGTGGTCATTTACATAATATTTGTATCTCATTTTCTGTGCAAGTATAAATGCATAATATTCTGTCTCAGATTCTGGCACCATTTCCCACCCCTGGATTCCTATCCCAAAGCAGGTCAACCTGAAATTGTGGTAGGAACACTGAAAAGGTAGGCATGGCATGGTGGTATAGGGATAAGTTAACTTGTGTCGTGTCTAGCCCAGGACCCAGCATGGTGTGGGGGGTGATAAACATTTGGGATTTCTTAAAACTCCAACTCTACTCCTAACTGTGTGACTCTGGGGTGCTCATTCTTCCTTCTGGGCTCTAGTTTCCTTATCTAGAGTCCACGCTGGGCAAATCCTCATCCTTATGAGGTTTTCCAGGTCTTGTCTGATTCCAACCTTGGATCCACCAGGTCTGGCTCTACCTGGAAAAATGCCTGTGTGGTCTCTACTTCCAGTGAGTCATTTGTCTCTTGACAGCCTCTTCGATCCTCTCCTGCCAGGTTCCCAGAGCCCCCTGCTGGATGGCGCAGCTACCTTAATCCTGGCAAAGCGACAAACCCCCCTGGATTGTGTTCTGTATCGATATGGCTCCTTTTCTCTCACCCTGGACATTGTCCGTGAGTCTTGACTGCTTTGTGGGCTGGTGGAGGGAGGTGTGTCCTGCCTAAGGCTGGCCAGTGGAAGCATACCTTGGAAGGAGTTACTCACCAGGACAAGAACACCCAAATCCCAGGGTTTTTATTTTGAAGGCACGGATGGGATTGGGGAAGCAGCCCTAGGGTTTTCCTCTCTGTGGGCCTTTGGAGAGGCCTGGTAGAGGCATCCCAGATGTAAACTCTTGCAACTCTGCAGGGGGTATTGAGAGTGCTGAGATCCTGCAGGCTGTGCCATCCAGCGAAGGGGATGCATTCGAGCTGACAGTGTCTTGCCAAGGAGGGTGAGTGTCCCACTGCTTTCCTGAGAACTCTTGGGTTGACTGTTGCATTGCCCTCTGGTGTCTAGTGTTCCTTCCCAGTTGCCCTGACCTAAGCTGACACCTCTTGCAGGCTGCCCAAGGAAGCCTGCATAGACATCTCATCACCAGGGTGCCAGCCCCCTGCCCAGCGGCTATGTCAGCCTGTGCCGCCCAGCCCAGCCTGCCAGCTGGTTTTGCACCAAGTCCTGAAGGGTGGCTCGGGGACCTACTGCCTCAATGTGTCTTTGGCTGATGCCAACAGTCTGGCAATGGTCAGCACCCAGCTTGTAATGCCTGGTAGGTACTTGGACAAGAGTTACGATGAAGAGGGTGGGGGGAATAGGCAGAGGCTATCTGGCAGGGAGCAGACACTAACCGAAGCTGTGCCTGGGTTTCTGCTCACAGGTCAAGAAGCAGGCCTTGGACAGGCTCCCCTGTTTGTGGGCCTCTTGCTGGTGTTGATGGCTGTGGTGCTTGTATCGCTGATATATAGGTGAGAACCCCACCATCTAGTTCACACCCCCTTATCCCTTGTGACCACTCCTCAAGAGGAGAAGGAACCACCACTTCTTTTGAAGAAGCATGGTATCCAGGAAAGAACCCAGACTTGGAAGTTAAACAGACTTGGGCTGCAGTCTTGCTGGGGGAAACTTGGGAAAGTAGCTTAACGTCCCTGAGCCTCTGACAAGTAGGAAAACTAGTATCTGCCCTATGGGCACCCAGTTCTGAAGCAGGAGTACAATAAATGATAATACTGATGACTGTTCTTTATAATAATATCAAGAGTGGAGGAAATTGGGTGACCTGAGTCCTCTACCTGTGAGAAGGGCAGATGCTCTGGCCTGGAGTGCCAAGGTCCTCAAAGCAGGGAAGCTTGTAGGGTAAGAGGGAAATGGACAGAGGTTACCATAAAAACAAGACAAGATGAATCCTGTTGGTGAGAAGGGGAGGGAGCTAGGATCACGGTCAAGTAAACCTGGGGCCTCTTTTTTGGAGAAGCACAGATAGGCTTCCCTTGTCCATTGCTAATCAGTTTCTCCCTTCTCCCAATTTCAGGCGAAGACTTCTGAAGCAGGACTCAGCCCTCCCCCTTCCCCAGCTGCCACGTGGTAGCACCACCTGGCTTCGTCTGCCCCGGGTCTTCCGCTCTTGCCCCATTGGTGAGAACAGGCCCCTCCTCAGTGGGCAGCAGCAGGTCTGAGTAATCTCATGTGATGCTGTGATTTGCCCAGCGTGGACAGCAATGCTTATCTTTCCTCCAGTCTTCCCATGGAGACTACCATTACCTGAAATAAATACTCAGAACCTGGTGCTGTTTTTTTTTTTCTTGCTGTTGGGAGCATCTGTGTCATTTAGGGAGGGGAGGTGTATGAGAAGGAGGTGTACCATTTACTTAAAAGATATCCCAGTGGGGGGAAAAAAGTCATTTTATTCAGATGAGGCACTTTCAATGTGTGTGTGTGTGTGTGTGTGTGTGTGTGTGTGTGTGTATGCACGCACGCACGCACGTGTGCATGGGAAATAGTAGAGGTGGTGCAGGATAATAAATACTGTGAGGGTAGAGGAACACTCCCCTGAGCTGGCAGGAGAGTGTGGCAGCAATGTACAGAGCCTAGGAGTAGAGTCCAGGGATGAAGAGGTGGGTTCAAGGCTGGCTTGGAGGCTGAGGTGTCCCCCTCAGCATAAGAAGCCAAAGAAATTGGAGGAGCGAGGGGGTGGGCCCACAAGCATGGGCATCTGGTTCTTGTGGGTGATCTTGATCTGGAAGGGAAGGGGGCATGTTGAGAGGCAGGACCTCGTTCCCTTTGGACTGGAGCTGTAGAGATTTGAGGGAAAATCTGTGGGGTGAGGGGGAGTTGCCAGGGTCCTAGAGAAGCCATGGCAGGAAGCCCAGGGGCTAAGAAATCATGATTTGGGAGGAATGGTGCACAGGGGAACTTGAGACATTGGGATGGAGTAAGGAAGCTGTGGAAGGGAGGTTTAGGATTCACAAAGCCTGAGGGTGCCATTTTGGGCAGGCATAGGCAATACTCACTGTACAGGGTGTCTGCATCCAGGGTTCTCCATCAATTTGCATGGGGAGGGTTTTTGTGGTGCTGTGGGAGGCCAAGGCAGATTGGTGGAGATTTCTTTACCAACTGAATACCAAAACTCTGTTTCTTAGCTTGGTTTAGAGACCCTTTGTTACTGAGGAAGATCTCCTAGTACAGCTCCTCCCTACCATCCCCATGACCCTTCTGCTCTCCCGGCCCTACTCCTTCCCTCAGAGCCCCTGGCCAGAGTTTTCCTTACTGGAAGGTAATTTCAGAGCACTTGGCTAGCCGATGTCCAGCGTTCTTGAGCTTGGTATAAATCTGGCCCATCTCAATTGCACCCTCCAGCCCTACTACTTCCAGCCGCTTGTCGCTTAGGTCTGTGGGTGGGAAGTAAGGAGATAGGTTTTGCAGGAGCAGGGTGCCTCCAAAGGGAGCCACACCCCCTTGGTCCTGCCCACTCAGTTCCCAAGGCTGCTCACCTGGTACACAGGTTTTCAGGATATCCGGGTCAGTGATGACTTTAGCTGTAGCGCCTAAGGCCTGGTTGATCCCATGGGTATCTCCATGAGGTCTCTTGGTATCACCCCAGAGGTTGGAACCACCATGCATGCTAGGGATGTTCAGCACTGCGATGCCTTCTAGTGACAGGTTGCTCAGATCCAGTGGTTTCCCACAGATCTGAGAAGAGGAGAGCACAAATCCTTACCTCCTGTCATAATCATGGATGCGACCCCTCCCTCCACCAGATGACAAACTGGGAAGGCCAGGAGTTGGGGGTTTGCAAAGGATGGCAGGAAACAGGGACCAGTTGTATTGAGAACCTGGGAAATTAGGAAGGGAGAGCTGGGAGGTCAAAGTATAGGTTCAAGAATAGGGGAAGTTCCTGAGGGCACCTGTGGAGGGAGAGACTAAGATATAAGAAAGTGAGAAGCATGTAGGGTTGGGTCTCATCACACCCACCTCAACTGTCAAAGACTCCTCCAGCTTTTTGCATGTTGAGAAGATGGATTCAGAAGTAGCGAATTCGAAGTACCATAGCTTGTTCTTCATTCTGTGTCAGCCCCAACATAAGGCCCAAGAGGGAGGGGACAAGTTACACAGTGCTGGCAGAGGAGGGCTAAGTGACAGGGAAGGACATCAACCTCCTGACTCCGGTCCTTTAGGGAAAAGGATGGCTTTGGTTGAGGGGCTTCTCAGAGGTGCCACTGCCCATCTAAGTGCTCTGAGTCAAACTTGGCCACAACCTGGTCCCTGCCACTGTGTATGTCCACCCCCACCCCCCTCTCCCTCACCTGCTGTTGAACTTCTCAGGATATTTCTCTCGCATGATGTGGAATCGGTGAGCAATAGAGGCATCCTGGGGAGTTCAGGGCATGTAGGATCAGAGGCCTGCCTCCTCTCACGGCACAGAATACTCTCTTTAATTCCCTCATTCTGCAGCAGTATGTCCCATGTTCTTTTCTTACAACTCACACCACTGTACCCCACCCTCCATTTCCCTGTGTCACAGCTCCCTTAACCTCTACCTCCTCTTTCTAACCAGCTCTAGCTTCTTGCTGCTTAACCCATACTTCCTCCCTAGCCCCCCCATACCCCACTTCACTGACCACACCAATGGAGAAGTAGTTATTGATGATTTGAAAGGGGACTGGGTCACTCTTTTCTTCAGTTTGTTGAGGTATCACCTCCACGGACCATCGATCCATATGTACCACCTTACTCATCTCTAAATCCTTGAGGATCTTCCCCAAATTCTGTCCCTCATATCCTAAGGATGGGGGAGAAGACAGGTTAGAACTGAGCCATGGGTCTCAGAGGGCCCTCTTCTCAGCTCCCAGCCCCACAAACTCCCAGAGATCCTCTGCCCTGCTTCTGCAGACCCTCCTAGCCCTAGCCAGTGAAATAGCAGGGAGCGGGATGCCTCAGTGGCTCAGTTGGTTAAGTGTCTGCCTTCGGCTCAGGTCATGATCCCAGGGTCTTGGGATCCAGCCCCACATGAGGCTTCCTGCTCAGAGGGGAGGAGCGTGCTTCTCCCTCTGCCTGCGCTCCCCCTGCTTGCTGTTTCTCTCTCTCTTTCTGACAAATAAATACAATCTTAAAAAAAAGAAATACAGGGCAGGGTGCTTGGTCCTAGCTCCCATGGACCAATCTTTCTCTCTTTAAATGTAAGCTCTATGTCCAACATGGGGCTCAAACTCACGAGCCTGAGACCAAGAGTCACATGCTCTACTGACTGAGCCAGCCAGGTGCCCCTTCAATGGAACAATCATTTTTTTAAAAGATTTTATTTATTTATTTGACAGATAGAGAGACAGGGAGAGAAGGAACACAAGCAAGGGGAGTGGGAGAGGGAGAAGCAGGCTTCCCTCCAAGCAAGGAGCCCGATGCGGGGCTTGATCCCAGGACCCTGCGATCATGACCTGAGCCGAAGGCAGACGATTAAAGACTGAGCCACCCAGGCGCCCCAGAAGTCACTCTTTATACCAAAATAAATTCAAGATGGGTCAAAGAATTTAAATGTAAAAAAATGAAGCAGAATTTGTACTAGCAGAAAACATGAGTGCATATTTTTGAAATCTTTGAGTGGAAAAGGCTGTTCTAGAGCATAATACAAAACTGGGAGCCAAAAAAGGAGAAGACTGATAAATAAAATTTTTTTAAAGATTTTATTTATTTATTCGTCAGAGGGAGAGAGAGAGAGAGAGAGCGCACAAGCAGGGAGAGCAGCAAAGGGAGAAGCAGGCTCCCCACTGGGCAAGGAGCCTCATGTAAGACTCGATCCCAGGACCCTGGGATCATGACCTGAGTCGAAGGCAGACACTTAACTGACTGAGCCACCCAGGTGTCCCTGGTAAGTACAATTATATTAAAACTTAAAACTTCCTGGGGCGCCTGGGTGCCTCAGTCGGTTGAGTGTCCCACTCTTGGTTTTGGCTAGGGTCATGATCTCAGGGTTGTGGGGTTGAGCCCCACATCAGGCTCCATGCTCAGTGGGGAGTCTGCTTGGGATTCTCTCTTTCCCTCTCCCTCTGCCCCTCCCCCCTGTGCTCTCTCACGCTCTCTCAAAGAAAGAAAGAAATCTAAAATTTAAAACTTCTTTGGTTAAATAAACACACACCTAAAAAAATACAAACTGGGAAAAAATATCTGCAGCACATATAATAGACTAACTTCACCAACATTCGAAAAATGCTTATAAATCACTAAATCTAGGGGCACCTGGGTGGCTCAGTTGTTAAGCGTCTGCCTTCAGCTCAGGTCATGATCCCAGGATCCTGGGATCGAGCCCCACTTTGGGCTCCCTGCTCGGTGGGAAGCCTGCTTCTCCCTCTCCCACTCCCCCTGCTTGTGTTCCTGCTCTCGCTGTCTCTCTCTCTGGCAAATAAATAAAATCTTAAAAAAAATGAAAATAAAAAAATAAATCACTGAGGCGCCTGGGTGGCTCAGTCGTTAAGCGTCTGCCTTCGGCTCAGGTCATGATCCCGGGATTCCTGGGATTGAGCCCCGCATCAGGCTCCCTGCTTGGTGGGAAGCCTGCTTCTCCCTCTCCCACTCCCCCTGCTTGTATTCCCTCTCTCACTGTGTCTCTCTCTGTCAAATAAATAAATAAAATCTTTAAAAATAAATAAATAAATAAATCACTAAATCTAAAAAGTCAATAGAAAAGGGGCAAATAACACAAATAAACCAATCACAGAAGAAGAAATACAAATGACCAATATGCAGATTAAAGATGCTCAGTATTGGAGCACCTGCGTGGCTCAGTCGGTTAAGGGTCTGCCTTCTGCTCAGGGTCCTGGGATGGAGCCCCATGTCAGGCTCCCTGCTCAGTGGGGAGTCTGCTTCTCCCTCTCCCTCTGCCCCTCCCCCTGCTTGTGGTCTCTCTCTCTCTCTCTCTCTCAAATGAATAAATAAAATCTTAAAAAAAAAAAGACACTCAGTATTACTAACAATTAAAACAACTGTAAATTAAAACATTTGGTTGACTTTTTTTTGCCTATTGTATTGACAAAGTATAAAGAGATTGACAAAACCAAGTGTTAATGAGATTATGAGTAAACCAACACTCTCATGTGCTGTTAGTTGGAGCATAAATTGGTATTCCATTTTGGAAGGCAATTTGGCAATTTTTATCACAATGTTATCAAATTTTATCAAAACAAGTACTTTGACGCAGCAATTCCACTTTTAGAAATTTCTCCTACAGAAATGGACATACAGGGGCGCCTGGGTGACTCAGTGATTAAGCATCTGCCTTCGGCTCAGGTCATGATCCCAGGGTCCTGGGATGAAGCCCCGCATTGGGGTCCCTGCTTGGCGGGAAGCCTGCCTCTCCCTCTCCCACTCCCCCTGCTTGTGTTCCCTCTCTTGCTGTGTCTCTCTCTGTCAAATAAACAAATAAAATCTTAAAAAAAATGGACAAAAATGTAAACAGAGATGTGTGTACAAGGATGTTTGCTGAGGTACTCTCTAAAACAGCAAAAAATTGGAAACAATCTAAATGCCCTTCAGCAGGGGAAGGCAAATTAATTATTTAAAAATAAATTATGGCAAATCCATGCCAAGAAATAATGTACAACCACTGAATATAGAATGTAATCTATATGTACAAACATGGAAAGATCTCCAAGACATATTATTCAATGAAAAAAGAAGTCCCAGAACAACCTCTGTAGTATGTTCCCATTTATGTTTGTTTAAAAGTTGTGTGTGTGTGTACATATACAAACAGGAAAATGAATGCAAATAGGACACAGTGGTTATCTCTGGGGAGGCACGTAGAGGGAGGAGACCTATATGTGAACACTTACACATTTTACTTTGTAAAGTCTTTTACAGTGAACATGTACTGGGGGTGGGAGGATGGGTTAGCCCGGTGATGGGTATTAAGGAGGGCACGTACTGCATGGAGCACTGGGTGTTACATGAAAACAATGGATCATGGATCACCACATCAAAAACTAATGATGTATTGTATGGTGACTAACATAATATAATAAAATTAAATTAAAAAAAGAAAATGTACTGATATATTATTTGTGTAACTTTTATTTTTTATTTGTATAACTTTTAAAAATAACTAGCCAAATGTAAAATGTTTGTACTCTTGAGCCAGCAATTCTAGAAATATCTCCTAGAGAAATTCTCACATCTGTGTGAAGAGATAGATGTGCAAGGTGTTCACTGCAGCATGGTTGGTAATAAAAAACTGACCACTACCCAAATGTCTGTCAATAGGTGACTGGCTACATAAATTATGACATATTCACACAATGGAACGCTATTCAGTAGTAAAAAGAGTGAGGTAGATCTGACTATACTGAAATATAATGATAACCACGAGGAACTGTTTAGTTTTAAAAAAAGAAGAAAAACATCAATAGAATGATCTCATTGTTTAAGTACATATTAGTATGTGTCTAGAAAGAAAAACACGGAGGAATAGATTCCAAAACTTTAGGGAGTAGATTACAGGGAACTTTTTTGGCATGTGTATCGGAAATGTTTGAATTATTTTTTTTTAAGATTTTATTTATTGGGCGCCTGGGTGGCTCAGATGGTTAAGCGTCTGCCTTCGGCTCAGGTCATGATCCCAGGGTCCTGGGATCGAGTCCTACATCGGGCTCCCTGCTCCTTGGGAGCCTGCTTCTCCCTCTGCTTCTCTCTGTCTCTCCCTCTGTCTCTCATGAATAAATAAATAAAATATAAAAAATAAAAATAAAAAAATAAGATTTTATTTATTTATTTGACAGAGAGACACAGCGAGAGAAGGAACACAAGCAGGGGGAGTGGGAGAGGGAGAAGCAGGCTTCCCAATGAGCAGGGAGCCCAATGCGGGGCTTGATCCCAGGACCCTGGGATCCTGACCTGACCCGAAGGCAGACACTTAACCAACTGAGCCACCCAGGAGCCCCTGAATTATTTTTTACCACAAGAATGTATTATTTTTGTAATTGGGGAAAAAGAGATAAAAAAAAAGTAAGTCTCCACTTCCTCACATTCCACTGATGGTTCAACCCACTGTAATTTGCCTTTCACCATGCCACCCTGCTGAAACTCTTCTGGCAAAAATTGCCAATAATTCCTGCCAAAACCAACAGTATATCTTTAGTTCTCATTTTAACTCATGAAACTCCTCATTTGGCCTCTAAAACACCATTCTCTAAGCTACAGAGGATCCTCTCTGATTGTTCCTTCTTAGCAACTGTGGTAGGCAGAATAGTGCCCCCTTAAAGATGTCTGCAGTCTTTTTATTTTTATTTATTTATTTATTTATTTTAGGATTTATTTAGTTCAGAGAGAGAGAGAGAGCACACACATGAGCCTTCGGGAGCAAGTAGGAGGAAGGGGCAGAGGGAGAGGGGAAGCAGACTCCCCGCTGAGCTAGGAACCCAGCCTGAGATCTTCCCACCTGGAGATCATGACCTGAGCCGAAACCAAGAGTCAGACGCTTAATCAGCTGAGCCACCCAGGCGCCCCTGTGTTCTTTTTTTAAAAAAGATTTTATTTTTAAGTAATTGCTACACTCAATGTGAGGCTCGAAACTACAACCCCCAAGAGTTGCATGCTCTACTGACTGAGACAGCCAGGCACCCCAAGATGTCCACATTTTTATCTCCAGAGTCTGTGAGTATGTTGCCTTACATGGCAAAAGAGACTTTGCTAATGTGATTAAGGATTTTTTTTTTTTAAGTAAGCCTACACCCAACAGGGGGCTTGAACTCATGACCTGGAGATCAAGAGTTGCGTTCTTTTTTTTTTTTTTTAAGATTTTATTTATTTTGGGGCGCCTGGGTGGCTCAGTCATTAAGTGTCTGCCTTCGGCTCAGGTCATGATCTCAGGGTCCTGGGACTGAGCCCCGAGTCGGGCTCTCTGCTCGGCAGGAAGCCTGCTTCTCCCTTTCCCACTCCCCCTGCTTGTGTTCCCTCTCTCGCTGTGTCTCTTTCTGTCAAATAAATAAAAGATTTTATTTATTTGTCAGAGAGAGAGCAAGCACAAGCAGGCAGGGTACCAGGCAGAGGGAGATGTGGGCTCCCTGCTGAGCAGGGAGCCCGATTCGGGACTGGATCTCAGGACCCTGGGATCATAACCTGAGCAGAAGGCAGACACCTAACTGACTGAACCACCCAGGTGTCCCAAGGGTCGCATTCTCTACTGACTGAGCCAGCCAGCTGCCCCTAAATTAAGGATTTTTAAATGGGGAGATTATCCTGGATTATCTGGGCAGGCCCAATATAATCACAGGGGTCCTTATTTATAAGTGAAAGAGGAAGGTAAAAAAATAAGAGTCATGGAAGGTGATGTGACAATGGAAACAGAGGTAGGAGTGATAACATTGAGCGTTGGAAGCGGAGCCATGAGCCCAGGAATGCAGGCAGCTTCTAGAAACTGGAAAAGGCAAGGCAAAGAATTCTCCCCTTGAGGCTCTAGAAAAAACACAGCCCTGCTAACACCTTGATTCTAGAGCAGTGGTACCTATTTTGGACTTCAGATCTCCAGAAGTGTAAGACAATAAATTTGCGTTGTTTAAAGCCACTGTTTATGGTGATTTCTTATAGTAATAATAGTACATGAACACAGACTTCTTTAACACTGGATTTTCCTCTGCTCAACTGTTAAATAGGGTGTTTTACTAGGATACTGCATCCTTGTCCATCTTCTCTTCTTACCTCTTTCCCTGGGTAACCCATCTACTCTCAGGATGTCAATTATCTCCCAGGAGCAGATGACTCTCAAACGTGTATCTTCCTAGTACTGTTTGTAACTACTCACCATACATTTCCATCTGGGTGCTTCACTGACACCTCAACTTAACATGTCCAAAGCGGAATTGATCTTCCTTAAACCGGTCCTCCTCCCACATGCTCTATCTTAAATGGTATCCCACATGCTCAGTCCACAAACCAGAAAATGTCCTATACTTGTCCTCTCCTCCTCCACAACCCACTGGTTACCAAGTATCGTGGTTTCTACCTCATGAACTGCACTGCTGTTGCCTCTGTTTGGTGTCAGTGTCTTTTGACCGGACTACTGCCATACAGGTAATTTCCTATCCCGTCTCCTTCCTCCAATCCATCCTCCACAGAGATCCCATTGTGGTACTCCTCTCATCTCTTCTTCTTCTTCAAATCTTATGATTTTTTTCAATATCAACACAAATTTTCAAACACAAATTTAGTGTTGTATTTATATGATTATTTCATGATTCAGGTTGAATTGGCAGAAACTGCTATGAGAGTCTCATTTGCAGAACACACAGTGAATACATAATTTCAAAATGTCTAATATTTTACGTAAACACGAAGTTCGATGTTGAAGATTTAAAAGCTGGCCAGGGGCACCTGGGTGGCTCAGTCCATTAAACGTCTGACTCTTGATTTCTGCTCAGGTCATGATCTCAGGGTCATGCGATCCGAGATCGAGCCTGGAGATGGGCTCCGGGCTCCTGCTCAGCAGGGAGTCTGCTTCTCTCCCTCTCCCTCTGTCCTTCCCCCTGCTTGGTCTCCCCTGCTCTCTCTCTCTCAACTAAATAAATCTAAAAAAAAAAAAATTGGTCCTATGTTTATATACAAGATTTATTTTTTAAAAAAGATTTTATTTATTTATTTGAGAAAGAGAATGCGTGAGAGAGCACGAGCAGGGGGAAGGGGCAGAGGGAGAGGGAGAAGCAGACTCCCCACTGAGCAGGGAGCCTGAAGCGGGGCTGGATCCCAGGACCCCGGGATCATGACCTGAGCCGAAGGCAGATGCTTAACCAACTGAGCCACCCAGGCACCCCTATATACAAGATTTAGATTATAATATGTACTCAGAGATATTTCTACATTCTGGAATAATATTTTATTTACACAATTTTTATTACAAATATAGAGAACATAATTTATATATATAAGTATATATAAATAGGCATATATATATATATATATACACACCTATTTTTTCTTTGAGTTACATTTTTCATGAGTTCAAGAGTTCCCTATGGTTTAGGGTTTGCACAATCAAATGCCTCAGTGGCTAGAAAGGTGAAGTGCATGAGTGAGTAGCAGGGATCTGAGAAGATTGTGGTCAACTGAAGAATATATGACTCACTTCTTAGAAATAAGAGAGGTTTAAAAAATTTAAAACACTGCAAGGCAAACAATGCAAGACAATACAAATCCTTTCTGTGGGCTGTCTGCTTTCAATCTCTGGCAGGATAAAGTAAAAAAAACTCCTCAGCACAGCATTCAGGACCCTCCCTAATCTGGACCCGGTTCAACTCAGTCCTTCCTCTCCCCATTCCCCACCTCGCACTGCATGACCCAGTCCTAATGAATGACTCACACTCCCTAATGCATGCACTACTATGCTGTTTGGCCTTATACAACTTCTACCTAGAAGGCCTTTCACTCTCCTTCCATAACTTCTGCAAGATCGCAGAGCTGGACTCTGAGTCCAATAGCCTCAAACAAAGACACTTCAAATCCAACCTGCCCCACCCTGACCTCTTTATCTACCAATACCATCCCCTGAACTCTTTCTGTTTGAAAGGAGACTAGAAAGAGTCTAGAAATCAGAGTATAGTTAAGAGACTGCTGTGACTGACTTGGGAAGAAATCATTATAAATGAATGAATGACCCCCGATTAACTGGCTGAGTGGTTGAATGAATCATAGCCAAGCTCCCTGCCAGCTCCATCACTGAACATCTGGTTTAGCTCTTATACAACCTTTCTTATTCCCACGTTGTCCTCCGTATTCCTTGATTCTCTGAGCCCGAAGAATTGGTTGGGAGAAACAGAGGGATATTTTTTTTTTTTAAAGATTTTATTTATTTATTTGAGAGAGAGAATGAGAGAGAGAGAGAGAGAGCACATGAGAGAGGGGAGGGTCAGAGGGAGAAGCAGACTCCCCGCCGAGCAGGGAACCTGATGTGGGACTCGATCCCGGGACTCCAGGATCATGACCTGAGCCGAAGGCAGTCGCTTAACCAACTGAGCCACCCAGGCGCCCAAAAGAAGGATATTTTTTGGTATATAGGGAAGAGGACTGTCACCCTGACCCTTCTAGGTTCAGACTGTGGTCTTCGCTTCATCCCAAGCTTTCTTCCTTGGGGACGATCCACTTTGGTAACCACCTATCTCTGCCTCTCTTCTTCTCCAACCTTCTTTCTATAACAATGCCTAGACACCTTCTCTATGTGCCTTTCCCTTCCTACCCAACTCCCCGTCTCCCAGGAAAACAATTTCTAACCACTTACCTCCTCCCCATCTTAGGCACCGAGCCAGATCATTTCCAGTGCCCAGGGGCAGCACAGCAACAGGAGGTACAACAGGCAAGTTGGCTTTGTCTAGGGAAGCAGGTCAGGGGATGGATGGAGGGAGTTAGCTCTAGAAGGCCAATGCCCCAGTGCCCTTCCCAGAGCCTCTCCCTATACTGACCTATGGTCTCCAGAATCCAGCCTACTGTGCCATCTCCACCACACACCAAAATCCGACAACCAGGAACATCCCTGAAGAATCTGAGCCTGAGATTGAAGGGAAGAGAGGTGAGGAAGGACAATAGGATTGAGTCTAACAACTCCCGGACAGGCGGATTACTTCTTATCTCTCATTCCCTATGACCCCCTCCCCTTTGTCAAAAGACTTGTTTCTGTTAAGGTCAGAGAAAAAATACAATGGGGAACGTTATAGCCACTCCTCAGTGGTTAGGGAGAAACTGGTATCTTTATGTTTTGAGAGCAGAACAAAGATGAACCAGAGAACTCAGGGGCATGGGGATACCCAGCAACATTACTAAAAGCAGCATTCTGAATTCTGCTTTCCTGGGGTCCCCTAGCCCTGTCCTCCCAACATGTATTCTTTTCTGCTCTCCCCCAACATACACAGGCAGACACATACAAACACTGTGATACAGTCCCCAACCTATACTCACCCTGCCTCAGGACCATCCTTTAGGAGGTTGAATACCTGTCGAGGATTTAGTAGATACTGGAATTTCCAAAGCACCCTGTATGAGGGAGAAAGGAAAGTTTATGGTAGGGGATGGACAGTCTGTACTCCATCCTCTTGATGTCCTCCTCAAGGTATGTCCCCTCCATACACACAGATTCCCCAACCTCTATCGGTCCTCCTTCTCCATCTTAGAAGACCCAGTATATCTCTTCTCACCTCTCCCCCTGCTTCCCGCCACTCTTAGGGTTGACAAAGACCAGAAGTGGGTGGGTGTTAGAAACAGGGTCAATCTGCATTTGGGGAAAAAACAAGGATAAGGAAAACAGGATTTTGCCAGTTAAGATGGGCCCTGGAGACAGTGACAGAAGGCTGGCCTGCCCCCAAAGATGCTTTCCCCTTCCCCTACCACAGTGGGGCTTCTGGAGAACAAGCACCATTCCCCATGTTTCCCACTTCATTCCCTCCTATGAGGGCTCCAGCCAAGAAAAACCCACCCCCTTCATGTACCCGCAGAGCCTCAAAGGTGCTCAAATTTAAGTCATCCATGGTCTTCTGGCTTGTTTTGCTAACTTTACGCTCCTGTCCAGAGGCCTAGAAAGGGAGGGAAGCAAAGGGAAGGGAAACTGGATTGTATGTGAATCCCTAAACAGATAACGGTCTGACCTGAATCCTAAAAGTATAGGTTCTCTGCTATAAAGGGCATGGCGTGTGTGTGTGTGTGTGTGTGTGTGTACATCAGGGGAAGCACTCCTCCTGTCCCCTCCTAGCCACTACCCAAGGGTCTTACCAGGACACTGGGATAGATGGAAGATGGAGGCAGGATGTGATCCCGGAGCAGCCCACAGTCACACTCATGACCCATGGCTTGCAGGCAGTCATCATGAATCTGAAAGACAAGGTGGGCATACAGACATCATGGAGGGAACCCGTCACCTCTCAACTCAGAGGGTCTAGTACTGGAAAGAGAGCCCTTGGGAGCAAGGGCAACTGTGGCTATGTGGGAGATGTAGTCAGGGAGACCCGTGCAGAGGGCAGTTTAGGGAGGAGCCCCAAGGCAGAGGCTGGAGAGCTCCCCAAACTGACCTCTAGGTGGCACCACACACAATGCAGTCCGACTAGACTGTGGTAAATGCGGATCTTCTTCTGACAGCGGTCGCATCGGCCAGACTCACAGCCTCCTCTCACCCACACATGTGATTGGATCTTGGGGAGAAAGGCAATCCCTAGTCTGAGAGGGTTGGAGCAGGGATGAGGGGAAGGGCTGAGGGCAGCAACGGGCCAAGGGCCAGGATGCGGGTGGTACTGGGGTGGGTATGCAGTCACTCACACCAATGTCCTTCCGAGACTTGGCATAGGTGCTGACTTCACAAGGCAAGGCCTTCATGGCACACTGGTCATGAACGACGTACTTACAGACTGGGCGAGAAGGAAGAGGGTCAGAGCCTTAGTTACAGCCCCTCCCCCATCTCCTCCTTACCTGGGTGTAAGGCGGGATCATTCACTTAAACTATGAGAGTGTGGTAGAGAATTAAAGTTTGAGGTGGGGGCTCAACTCCAAGACCTGTGCCTTTTGCTCGCTCTCCCCCGTGAAAGAGCAATTGCTACCACATGCCTACCCCCACTCCTTCTAAATGCCAGGAACTCAGCTGGAAGATGCAAAGGCCTAGATTTAACAATAGCAATGACAATAATAGCAGCTAATTTTTATTTTTTATTGCAGACTTAATAATATATACATGCACCATGTGAAGTACTTTTCTTGCATCCACTTATTTAATGCTCACGGTTACTTCATTTTCAGTCGAGGAAACCTCATTTTAAATTGAGGCTTAAAGAAGTTATGTGGCCATGTGGTACACCTGAAACTAATGTAACATTATGCGTCAACTTTACTTCAAGAAAGAAAGGAAGAGAAAGCTCTGTGGCTTTCCCACCTAACTAGCCAGTGGCAGAGCCCAGGACTCAAACCCAGATCTCTCGAAGGTCAAAGCAGCATGCTCCTGCAGATAGCTGGGCTGCCCCTCTGCCCGCACACTCCCAGGCCCCACCACTCACGGTTACAGCTCAGCCCCTGTTTGCCAAGACCAATGCTCGACTCGCACAGGTTGCAGTAGACCGGTCGGGGGAACCGCTTGGGTCTCCACAGGTGCTGCCCATTGTCCTTCAGAGTCTGGGAGGACACAGCAGATGCTGGGGGGGCGGGGGCCTAAGCCCTTAGAGCGCCAGCCGCTGGCACACACAACCCAAGGCAGCTATCTTACCCATCTCCATGAGTCTCTCCTACTCACCATCTCCAAACCCAGCAGCACGAGCAGGGGCACAGTGGTGGCCCCAGCCCGGAGCCACTCGGCGAGGGAGACAGAACCGCTGCCATCATAGTCAATCTCTTTCATCATCTCCTGAAGAATCTGAGCAGGGAATGGAGGGGACTTCTGGTGTGAGTGGCCCCTCACATCTGACACCTCTGCCCCCTAGGACATCCAGCCCAGCCACCCTCACCGAGGGAACGCGGCTGCCTATCAGAAGTGGGGTAGGGTAGATGCAGGACTCACCAGGGAGAAGGCACAAGGAGGGACATGAAGGAAAAACTGCCTTACCGGCCTCAGCTCAGACACGTCCCAATCCAGGTATTCAGCCACTCGCATCATCTGTATGATGAGTCTGTCCACTTCCTGGGGACCAAGAATTAAGAGCCACAGCCATATCCCACCTCACTACCACCATTCAAACTCTTCCCTAGAAATCAGGGTTCCTGGGTTCCACCCCGAGAGCCACCTCTCATTCTCAGGTGTCTCTGCCAAGTAAATGAGTGTTTATGTGTGTTGCTATGTTTGCAAGGTAGCCCCCAATTCATGTCTCTGGCCTCCTCTTTTAGGAACCAAGAGCTGAACCCACTCCCAAATTTAGTCCTGGAGGACTTGGCTTCTCCCTCTAGCTTCCTCTGCTTCTGAAGACCCTGGAAGAGTTGGGACAGGAGGGCACAAACAAATGGACACATACTCCCTTGGCCAGCATACAGGTCCCCCAACTCACTGAGCTGTCCAGGATCCCATTTCTGTCCGTGTCGTACAGCTTGAAGGTGACTGTGGGGTGTTTTAGGGGGGCCAGGGTCAGTTTGTGAGGGATACCCCCCAAATTCATAACAGAATACAGGGGAAATAAAGAGATGGGAGACATCTTTTAGATGAAGAGCCCAGAGCCTGGTGCTGGGACTGAGAGAGAAGACAAAAAGGGAGGGGGAACAGGCCTGGATTCCATCCTTGGTGAATCTAATAGGGGAGACAGAACACACCGCCCACAATCCAAGAAAAACCCAGGCCGCCCACATGAAAACGTATAGGACATGGGAACTGGGGTGACTATGGTGAATGGCATTAGGTATAAGGAGTCTAGGAGAACAGAGGAAATGGGCCCATTCTCTGGCCCCACCTTTGTCTGGCCCTGTCAGCCTTTAGGAATCCTGAAAAAATGAGGGAAGGAAGGCTGGGGAATACCCCCTCCCCTCCCCTCTCCCAGACCAGGATGGCAACTCACATTCTAGCTTGTCTTCTGGCCGGCCACCCTCCAGAAGGGAAAAGTAGCAGGAGACATCACTGAGACACACCACATCTGGTTACAGAAAGGACAGCAGATCTGAGATTGGGGGTCTCTCTACTCTGGCTCTTCTCTTTTCCTTTGTTCCAACTCTGCCCTTTAACTTTCCTCCCTCTAGCTCCTAGGCCAGCATGGCCATCCTCCACCTCTCTTCCCCAATCCTGCCTCCAACATGTGACTCAATTCAACTCTCACCCCAAAACCCATACTACTTTGACTTTTCTTCCGGAAGTCCAGCTCAGTCCCACCTTCATGACCATACCATTTTCCACAGTGTCTTCTAAGTGACCCATCTTGAAGGATTGAAACAGTGCCAGGCTTAGGTGATTGGGAATGTTATCTGCTTCCAGATAGATTTTCAAAAATTGCTGGAATCCCTCGTACCCAATGGCCTATGATGAGAGCAAGCATTACCCTAGGGAGTGTACAGGATGGGAGATGGGGACTGAAGAATTAGGAGCAGTAAGGACAGAGACAACAAGTGTAGAGCTAAGAAGCATCCACGGCAGACTATGGTTTCTTCTTCTCAAGGCTGAGTCCTCAATTACAATCTCTTGCTTTGTCCTATAGCAATAGCTGTGGTAACAATGGGCACCGGGGTATCGAGAGGGAGAACAGAAAGGGGTGGGCCCAGAATAATCCCTGGAAGTTGGGGATCACAGCAGAGTAGCAAAATCAAAGATGGGAAGAGTTGGTCAAGGAGAGGATTTCCCAGCTGCCACTCACATCTCCTTGGAGATATTCAGCCATTTCACCATCCTCAAAGAGCTTTAGGACATCGCTGACCTTGTTGGTAGAGTCTAGGGTATGAAGAGGATGAAGGAAGAGCATTAGTCTGGTTTGGTTCTCCCTGCCCTCTGCCGGAGTCCCACCCAGACATCCAACAGGAAAAAAGATTCAAGTGAGATGAAGAAGAAATTCCAGGAAGAAACCCAGAAATGCAGAGAGAAATATCGAGAGAATAACATTTCGGATGCTCCAGAGTGGTACCTCTGTTTACATCTCTTCTCTGAGACTTGGAGCAGGCAGCTGAGGTTCAGAGAAGGTAGGTGGAAAGCTGAGACCACAGACATCTCCCATCTCCCTCTCCTCCCTTTCCCAGCCATAGGCATATGTCAGGAGCTGACCGGCTTTAAGGCCACTGGCGAAACTAGCGGAAGGGGGGGATAAGGACCAGGGATTCTTCAGGACGGAGAGGAACACTCACATTCCATGTACTTTTGCAGCTGGGCAAAATCATTGGGGCTTATCAGGCCCTTCTCCTTGGCCATCTTTCTTTTTTTCTTAAGGAAGGCCACAAAAGCAGCTTGGTAGTACTTCTCACGCCTGGATCTATGCTTCCAAGGGTAGGTCTGGAGGGAGATGAGAAGAGTATGTGGCAGGAAGAGCCAGCTTTCTGCCTGTCTTTGCTTCTGTCCGGTCCATTAATTCTCCACTCCCACTATTATTTCTGTTCTTTCCTTGTCTCTGAGTCCCTCCCAAGTCTCTTCCTTTCACCCTGTACCTCTCCCCTATGTTTGTCTCTCCCTAACCGAGTCTATCCTCTGTCTCTGTTTCTCTGACTCATCTCTGACTCTCTCTCCTCCATTTCTGGATCCTTCTTCAGCTCTCTGATTTCTCCCCCAATCTGTCTTGATTCATTTCTGAATCTCCCCGCCCCCCCCCCCCCCCCCCGCTTTACAAGTCTGTATGTGTCTTTGTGGGTGTGTCCCTCGCCTGTTTCGACCTTTCCTACCGCCACCCCCAGTCTCTGCAGTCGCTCCTGAGCCCGCGCTCTCTCCCATGTCGGATCCCGCAGTCCTGGCCCTTCGGCCCTTCGGGTAGTTCTCACTGCGTTTGCGGCACGCCTCCCCGGCCACGATCCCATCTTGCTCCGCCTCCAGCCTCGGTCCCCAGCCCCGCTCAGCCACCCACTTCCCGAACCACCCTCGCCCCTCAACGACCTCTAGCGCTTCTGACGCGCGACACAGAACCAGCTCTGGCCAGGTCCCCAGCCCCGGCCCCGCCTCGCCTGCACCCTTCACAGCTCCACTGGGGAAGGGCGGGGACCCAGGCGCGCGAGATTGGGAGGAGGTAGGGGAAGAAGGCTCCGAACATCTGCCTGGCTTCCCAGTTGTAGGAGGGTTGAGCTGAGTGCAGGAGTCTCAGATGCGGGGTCTTCCTTGCACCCTGCTAGGTTAGCAGTGTTCAGGGAGTCCCAACTTGCAGCTATGGGACCCAGGGACCAAGGAGGAGCCATCACGGGGATCATGGTGCCCACTGGCCCTGGGGCCACGTCGCAGAGGGCCACTTGACTTGAAGATTGAATAACAGCAATAGCAGTGATATTTCACATGAGTATAGTACAGCAGCGTTTAGGAGTCCAGCAAAACTAGAGTTAGTCATAGATGGGTTCCATTCTTAGCTCTGATACCGCTGTGTAACTGGGACATATTACATTGTGAAATGGAAAGAATGATACCTGTCTGCCACAGTTGTGAAGATTAAGTCAAATCGTGTATGAAAAGTACCCAGTATGACACCTGCATATAGAAGGCCTACAAGAAATGGTAGTTATTATTGTACTAACAACTACAATTAGAACTTATGAGATAAGAAATTCCTGGTAGAGCCATTCTTCACATGAAGAAACTGGAGTTCGAAGAGGTTGGGACTTCCCAAGGCAGGTGATAAGTGGAGGAGTCAAAGCTCTACCCCAAGAACCATGTGATGGGGCCCCTGCCTGGCTCTGTCCTCCTCTCGTTCCACTCTCCACAAGGGCAGGCACTTGTCAGTATTGCTCACCACTATATCCCCAATACCTAAAGCAGTGCCCAGTGTGTTGTAGGTGCTCCATATTGTTTGTACAAATCGTTGTGCAAAGTGAGGGAGGAGCCATAGGTTGGAAAATATTAGTCCAAATATGGTCAAATGGGATGCCACAGTATCCGTCCTGACAGGGGAAGAGGAAACAATTTGGAACACACATAGGAGGTGCTAAATAGGTATTTGCTGAATGAATGAATTTTGCTAAAATGCACTTATTATCGCACTCCATCTGGGGCTTCTGCCTCCCCTTTGCCCACTTATTTAGGGTTTGTTGGGTAAGGCTCAAGGAGGCAGTTAGGGCCTACAAGAATTTCCTCTCTGATGGTGCAAGAATCTTCTTTACAGCCTCTGCCCTTGGGACATCTCTGCTGTCCACATCCATGCAGTATACCATTCCTCTTCTGGGGGCTCTCTGGGAATACTAACAAGGGAATCCTGGGACACTGATATTCTGGAGAAAGGACTCCGCCCATCTGGCTCTTTTCAATGACTATAATCCAACTTCTACTGCCAACAGATCTAATGAATACCTAATAGCCTTAGGGATAATTGGGTCCGTATGGCTTAATTAGCCTCTCTGATTACCCCTGGGGATTCTTAGATGGCTCCAACGTTCTAGGAAATGAAATCTGAGAGAGAAAGTGACAAGGAAAGAGCAAAGGAGGGACGATGAACAGGAAAGAGGACACATCTCTCTTTTCATAACAACCCCTCCTAGCCCCCCAGCTCTTGCATGTAATTTATAGTAGAGGTTAAGAGAATGGGCTTTCGCATTAGACAGGTATGGATTAGAATCCTAGCTCTTGGGTGAGTTATTTCATCTTCCTGAACCTGTTTCCTCATTGGTAAAATGGGTACCTAGAGAAATCAGTCACAGCGTGGAGATTAAGTAAGCTAATACATGCAATATACTTAGCAACTGTAAGGCACAGAGGGGGCAGTCATATGGCACAGAGGAAGGACTCAGTAAATGTTAGCCATTGTTGTTCTTGTTGCTGTTATACAAGGGTGGTACACAGAGAAACACATCTGGAGATGAGGAAAAATGGTGCCAGGAAGGCATCAGTTCTAGGAACTCCCAACAGCAGTGAAGCCCAGTCATACACTTTCCCCCATTGTGTCATCTCAGGCAACAGACAGGTAGGATTGGGATACTGCACTTTGCCTTTGGGAGGGTGAGGAGGTGGCTAGAAACTAGACTGTCAAGGTCCAAGGACACCTCTAGGCTGGGACCTTGGACATAAGGGCTCCTGGCATCTTTTCAGTTGTCCTCCTGACTTGTCTCACCGAAAGTCTGGCTGCCCCTGTTGCTGAAAGGCATATAAACTATTAGGATCCTGGACCTTAACAAACCGTAACAAGTCCAATTTTGTCCTCCCTGCTCCATCCCAGCCCTGAGGCTATAACCTGGGCTAGTCCAGGCGAATGCCAGGGTTGGGAGGGTGGGGTCTGCTGCCCGCCTGCCAGCTATCTGTGACTCACCCTTCCTTTCCCTCCTCTGGCTTCCCTGCCCATCCCTACCAACTTGAGGTGAGAAAGTAAGAAGTTGACTTGGAGGCAGAGAATCCTAGAACATCCTCAGAGCTGGGAGGTACCAACTCTCATACTTTACAGAGGAGGAAACTGAGGCCCAGATAGAGAGCCACAATCTCAGGATCACACCCAGACTCTAGACGTCCTGTCTTTAGTCCATTCCATTAAATCGTAGTGCCTCTGTTTTCTAGATCTTATTTTAAACAATAAATACTAAAATTGCTGGTAACCAAGAGATAAATACGATTTCCAAGGCCAGTGCAAACATTTAAAGTGTCCTTTTTCACTTAAACATTCGTCACTCCCATTCCAAGTCATATAAATTTACCATTACTCAAGAATCTGCTCTGCCCCCAGAACATTCAGGCTGACCCAGCAAGAAACCCAAGAAGCAAGCCCAGGCCTGATTACCAGGACTTCTGAATCCCTTAATCACACCAGGGCCTGTGTCCTCCTCCCCTTTCCCAGGACTGAGGGAGGGTCTATTCTTTCCTGCCCATGCCTGCTGCTAGTCAGTGGCCCCGGATCCCAGAGAGGGAATCATTTGCCTTGAAGTGTCAAAATTCACTAAGCCTCCGCAAACATTGCAGGTAGTGATGTTGCCTGATTAAGGGTGTGTGTGTGCGTGTGTGTGTCTGTGTGTGTGTGTGTGTGTGTGGTACAGGAGGAAGTTACAATGTTGGCATGGTTGGGGGATGTGGGCTCATATGATCTGAGGCTGAGGAGATGCCCAGTAGTAATCCTATTTCTTCCTCAGTAAAGCTCATTTCTCCCATTTAGAGGTGAAAAGTGGGATTCAGACCCAGGTAGTTTCAGAAACTTCCTGGTGACAGGTGTGGAAAGGGTAGGGATGGGACGTTGGGGACCAGGAGGCCAAAGAAGAACCCTTCTGCACCCGTGCAGCGCTGTGGCGGTTCCAAAACGGACTTTGCTTGACTCGGGCCCCTAGGAGCCGAGCTTCACCATCCCTCCGAGTGATTGGGGGCAATGCAGGGGAAGGTCTGGGGGAGACGCTGCCTACGGAGTTCCGGCCCAGCTCTCCCGCTGCCCCCCGCGTCCTGGCGCAAACCCCTCAAGCTACCCGCTCCAGCTGTCGGGCTTCCTCCTTCTCCGCCCGGCAGCCCTACCCCAGCCCGGCGGCGGCCCTTTCCGCGGCCCCCGCCCCCTCCCGCTCCGGGGCTGGAGGGCGGGAGGCGCGGGGGTTGGGGGGCTCGCGGGGTCTCTACCTTGCCTGCGGAGGGCGCGCGGTGGGAGCTGAAGCGCCGGCGCGGGAACTGGAGCCCGAGCTGGGCTGGAGGGGACGGACCAGGCAGGCGCGGCCGCCGCGAGGCCGCCCCGTTCCTGACGACACAGCTGCCCGCCCCCCGCCCGGGCCTGCCCGCCCGCGCCCAGTGCCCGCGCCCCCGACTCCGGGAACTGCAGTCATGCAGAGGCCCCTGTTTCCAGTTCACCAAGCCTGAGCCCCCAACCTCCCCAATATCTCCAGGGTTCTGGTCTGCACCACTTTCTCCACGTTCTGCGCTTCTCATCTTCTTCCCGCCTCGGGATAGCTCGGTTTCTATCCATCTTCCCTTCTTTCTTTTTTTAAGATTTTATTTATTTATTTGAGAGAGAGAGAATGAGAGAGAGCACGAGAGGGAAGAAGGTCAGAGGGAGAAGCAGATCCCCTGCGGAGCAGGGAGCCCGATGCGGGGCTCGATCCCGGGACTCCAGGATCGTGACCCGAGCCGAAGGCAGCCGCTCAACCAACTGAGCCACCTAGGCGCCCTATCTTCCCTTCTTTCACTCACAGCCTCTCCCCTTATCCCAACCGTGGGAGGTCATGATAGAGGGCGGGGCCGCTGGTGGTACAGTTTGGCAGGGGCCCACCCAGGCAACCTCTGACCCTCTCCTAATTGCTGCCATCCAGGGACTTCCCTTCTCAACTCCTTTCCATCCACCATTGACCGAATTCATACTCAGAAGATTCCACAGCAGCAAGCCCAGAGTCCCAGCCTCTGCATCCTGGGATACAAATGCTTCCCTCCTCCTCTCATGGGCTCTGCAGTGCTTAACACTATTTGAGGCCCACCTTTATCTCTAGGTTTCTCACCTCCCTAAAACCCAAACCCCAGACGGCTCAGACCTGTTTTCCCCAGTGTAAGTACACCTCCTTCTCTCAAGACTCGGGGCCTTCCCTTAATTCTGGGGTTGTTCAGGTGCAAAGAGCACTCTGGTCTGTGTCCACTCTTTCTCCATGCCCTAACCCTCCCACTTTACCTGCTGGCCTTGGCAGGTGCTGTAAAAGGCCCTGGCCAAAAGTAGGGGTGAGAGAAGATCCTTTCAGCTCCTCCTGTCTGGAATCTGTTCTGAAGTTGTTAAGGCTCTTGGGGCAGCATGAATGGCGGTGAGGCTGGCAGTGAGTACAAGGGAGATAGACAGAGGCCTAGGACTTACTGGTAGGAACTGGGGACTGGGGCATCCTGCTCCCTGGCCCCGCCCCAACCCAGGCTAACCCCCTCCTACCTCTCATTGAAGTAGGGCACAGTAACAGGGCTTGCGTTCCTGGAATCTTCCCTCTTATACCTGGTGGTAGAAGAGAGGGGGAGGGGGTACTGTGTGATGTGTATGTTGTGTATATGCATACACACACACATAATATATACATACTTTTGATGGGGGTTGGAGAGGAGAAGGAATGAATACATGAGGCCCTCTAGTGGAAATAGAGGGATCTAAGCAGTTCTTGAGTGTTTCCATACAGACTTACTGGAAAAACTCTCCCCCCCCCTTTTTTTAAAGATTTTATTTATTTATTTGAAGAGAGAGACACAGCGAGAGAGGGAACACAAGCAGGGGGAGTGGGAGAGGGAGAAGCAGGCTTCCTGCAGAGCGGGGAGCCCGATGCAGGGCTTGATCCCAGGACCTGAGCCGAAAGCAGACGCTAAACGACTGAGCCACCCAGGTGCCCCCAAACTCTCCCATTTTTATCAGAAATGTAGCTGTTGAGTAATAGGGCTTGGGAGTACTGTTGCACCTGAACCGGAGATCTGAGGGAGGCAGGGGTTGGAGAAGGTCTGTCTCTCCGCTCCTGTCTCCCGGTCTTAAAAAGACAAGGGCCCTGCTACTCCCCATCCTTTTTTTTTTTTCAATCATTATTTTAAAGTAATCTCCACACCCAATATGGGACTTGAACTCACAACACGAGATTGAGTCGCATGCTCCACCCACTGATTGAACCACAGGCACTTCTATTTCCCCTTCCTATATAACCTCTTTAGTCATAAGGAACCATAAGCACTTTTGAAGGCCCATTATGCACCAGGTCCTGTGCTTAGTTCTGTAGACAGCCAAAGACATAGCCCCGCTTAAGGACTGTACCAAAGAGTGGCTTGGGGTGTGTGTGTGTGTGTGTGTGTAAAGCCTCCCCATTCTAAGCCATCCTAAACATACAATATAAGAAAGAACAAGTGTCCTAGCACCTCTTCCAGTTTTCTGCCCCTGGACCTCTCATTTAGAATGATACCAAGCCCAAGGCACTCAGCTTTGCTTGCAAACAATACCAGCAGTGATACCACCCTACGTATGACCTGTGTTTTTCACTCCATCATCCTCGGATATGTCTCTACTTGAAGTTAAATTGCTCCTGTTAAGACTTTTTTTTTTGAGACTTCAAAGTGGGGCACGGGGTGATCTCTCTAAGGAATAGGATGAAATCAGTCATACTCTAGGCCTCTTTGTGTCTTCTTTAGGATCTGGGCTCCATCATATCTCATCAGTTATTGGTGGGGGTGGGAGGGGAAGAAAGGCCAAGAAACATCTAAGGAGGAGGCGTATAATGCCTACTGTTCCAGGTGCTCATTTCTTTAATCAACCACATCATAAAAATCAGAAAGAAAGAAACCGCAATGAACAAAGGGAAAGGAAAAAACAACAGCCTTGTTCTCCCCAGCCTCTTCTTTCTCCTCTTCCTTCTCAGGGTGTGTGTGTGTGGGGGGGGGTGGCGGCACATCCGGGGCCCAGGGCTGGGTCCCAGCAGGTCTGCTGGGCAGACAATTGAGTTTCACTTCCTGTCAAACCCAGAGCTGAGGCAACATGTCTGGGGGCACGGTGGGGAGGGTCTAGGGTTGGTGGTCAACAGGGGCCACTTTAGGATTCCCTCTTGCAGAAAGGTCCAATGCATCCCTCTAGTTAAAGGCTTCATCCCACACTCTCACCTGTAATAATCATTAGTAACAAGGCTAAGGACAGGATGCTGACTCAGTGACGCTGAAGCACAATTATTGAAAGAGAGCAGGGGTGAAGGATGGCAGTGTTAGAACACTTGCAATAACTGTGTATTGAATGCAAACCAGTTTTTAAATGAATCTTTTTGAGACCTTCTGAGTTGGGCCTCTGGTGGAAGTCAAGAAGGTAGAGCATGGTATGGAAGACAAGCTGTGACCTGAGAAAACTTCAAAAGCTTCATGTCAAAGCTTTTAGGAAGTTCCTAGTCAGTCATTACTCTCACCTTTTTTATTTTTTAAGTGGCCATACAGTCTAGTCTTAGAGGTAGTCACTAATACTTGCCCCTCTCTACGGGTTCCAGGGTACAGTTGGACATTAACCTAAGCCAAAGTGGGGGATTTGGAGGAACGTAAAACAATAAGGAAAAAACAACGTAGTAGGGGAGGGCAGAGCCAACACCTGAGGAGAGGAACCTGCAGCCGGCCACTCCCAGGCTGGAGGGGAAACGAGTTTAGCAGGACTCAGCCCTTAAGGAACAACAGCTGCTGAAAAGAGAGGGGGAGGGAAAACATTTGGGTTCCTCTAAAGAATAGGGAGGCACGGGGCAGGGCAGGACTGCAAAGGGAGTGACCGTGTAAGTCTCGACTACTGGCGAGTTGCCCCGCTTTGGATCCCCAGAGCCCAGACCTGGACGAGGTTCATTAGAATATTAACTGGCTCCGCCCAGAAGCCTTCACTTTACCCTCTGACCCTGGGGCCCAGCCTGAGGAGGCTCCCGGGGTCGAAGGCCAGCAAACTTGGGCCGTCCTCACTACGCCGCCCGATTCCCCGGGGCCGCCCCAGGGGCAGGGCCAGCCAGGGCTGCCCGCCCAACCCGGCCGCCTCCTCGGTCGTGGAATTCGCCAGCAGCCCTGAGGCTGCGGGGACAGGTGACCGACCGGCAGCACCCTCTGCCTTGCACTCCTCTGTCGTGGATCTCAGTCCGGAGGGTTGAGCTGGGTAGCCGAGGGCAATCGACACGCGATTCCGACCTCCCCACCTTCTAAGAGAGGGTCAGTTGGGGTCTTCCATTCACCCCTGACAACATTGGTGCGCCCCAGTGCGTTCCCGGAGTTTTCGCGCCCCATGTCCCCAAGCCGCTCTGGGACCTGGGTACAGGCTAGGGCTTGAAGATTCTCATTTATCAGCCCCACTTTCCGGGTGCAGGTGGGCCTTGCCCCCTTTTCCCTCGAAGGTCCTGGACGAACGGAGAGGGGCCGTGCCTCGGAACTTCTCTCGGCGCCCAGAGGACTGCTTTACACGGAGCAGGCACCCAATATTGGTATCAGTGGCAGTAATAGAGCCTACGGCTTTTATTTTATTCAAGCCTAGCTTCTTCTCCTTTCCTCCTCCACCTCCGTCCACGAAATGGTGTACTCTCCCTTTAAGACTAAAATGGTGGCTGGCTACGATCAGGACTCCACTTCCGGTGGGGAGGGGGGCGGGACCCCAGCCCGCTCACGCCGGAAGTGGTTTGCGTTTTCAAGATGGCGACTCCCTATGTAACTGATGAGACCGGCGGTGAGTGCGGGAGGCGCGGAGCCGCTTCTCCCCGGGCTCTCGGGGCAGGGGTTCGGACTTGGAAAGGGGTCTGTGCCCCGCCCATCCCGGGGCCCCTCCTTTTGCCCCGCCCTCCGGACCGCCTTCCCCATTCATTCTTTCCTATGGGGTGTCACCTGCGCCCCCTTCTGGTCTCGTGTTTGGGGGTCTCTGCTTCCGGTCACCCAAACCCTGGGGTCCTTCAGTGCAAGTCCCTGCTCCAGGACCCTCATGGGCCCTTAGCTTTTCTCCAGCAGCTGGAGATCCCATATCTCTTTCGGTTTCTCCAGGCTTGGGAGCTCCTGTACTCTCAGTTCCCTCCAATTCCAGCTTTTCCCCCCTGTTCCCCTCCCCCATCTTTCATCTGTACCTGCCTTCTGCCCTACCCCAGCTCCGTTTTAATTCTCTTTCTTGAAGTTGTGTGGGTTAAAGACCTCTTCATTGCTATATAATGCTTTTTACATTCTCTCCCTCATCTTCATTTTTGGGTCACTGAGGTTCAGAGGTGTGAAGGGAAGAGGAACCTAATATAACTTTCAGCTTGAGTTTTCTTCTTGATGGCATCACCCTTCTGTACCTTCTCTGGTGGTGATGGTGATAAAAGTTGAGGGATCTGAGGCGGAAGAAGGCAAACAGGAGGTGTCTAGTGGCCTCTCAAACCTTCTGACAAGTTCATAGAATCCACTATTACGTCTGGCTAGAGAAGAATTTCCGGCCTGGCTGATTGAGATGCTGAAGTGTCCACTGTGTATGAGGGTTTATGTGTTGAAAACTCAAGTCAGTGTTTTCATTCTGGTTTTGTCCCATCCTAATTTCCTCATCTTTAGAAAAATGTGCATAGGAATATCTACCTAGTGACGATCAAATAAAATAGCATATGTGAAAGCAATTTATAAAATGTACAAGGCGTTACTGTTTTTTGTAGCCTTCACTGCATACCTGCAGTCTTCTGTAGAACTGAGACTGTATGGTGTGTTTTAAAATGTGCCCTTTATGCTTTTTGCTTTGCTACTTTGCATGTTCTTTACATCTCAGCCCACCTCTCCTATGGTATCTTATGACAAGCCAAGTCTCTGCTACTTCTCTCCAGCCTCACATTTCAAAATGGTACACAGAACCTCTCTTCTGTTCTCTACTCAGTGGGTCCTTCATCTCCTGGCTTCTTTTAATGTGTGCTTTGAAAATATTACTCATTGTCCAGTACACTTTTCTTTATTTTTAACTATTTTCTTTAAACTGATTTCATGATAATCCAGATACCACGTTTCACCCTACCCTCCCATTAAGAGGTATCTTCAGTTCTCTGTGACTATGTAGAAGAGAAGGAATCACACTGCTTTTTTGCTTTCTCTTACTACTTCTAGATCATTGACGTACCACTGTTAGTCTAATCTTTGTGGAAGGTGTTGCCATGCAATTACAGCATTTTCTCTAAAACCTCAGGGTAATCATTTATTGCCCACAAGGCCCCAGACCTATTGCATCACACTTTTTTCTCCACTGTGTTTCTTGCTTTTATTCTCAGTGTCTCCATAATCTTTGGAATACTGTGATCTTATAGTTCCTCAGCACAAGACGGTCGACTTTCCTTTGTTTTTTGTTGTTGTTGTTGTTGTTGTTTGTTTGTTTTTTTAAGTAGGCTCCATGCTCAGTGTGGAGCTTAACTCGCTTTCAACTCACGACCCTGAGATCAAGACCTGAGCTGAGATCAAGAGTCGGCCTCTTAACCAACTGAACCACCCAGGCACCCCTCCTTTGTATTTTTAAAGTAGCTACACATCAGGGGCGCCTGGGGGGCTCAGTCGGTTGAACGTCCTGCTCTTGGTTTCAGCTCAGGTCATGATCTCAGGGTTGTGAGATCCAGCCCGGTATCTGGCTCTGGGCTCAGCACAGAGTCTGCTTGTCCTTCTCCCTCTGCTCCTCCCCCTGCTTCTCTCTCTCTCTCAAATAAATGAATAAAATCTTAAAAAATAAAGTAGCTGCACATCAGAATCACTACAACCGGGACCTCCTCTGTGACACTGCTTCCCTTTCAGGTGCTCTCCATCACTTTAGCCTCCTTACCAGTTACCTTTTTCACTATTTCACATCCACAGAATCTGCTTTTTGCCCTTCTTAGGTTCTTGACCTTTCCCATTTCATTGCATCTACCAGTACCTTCATGACTACCTTTGATGCTGCTCTGCTAGACCTTGGTGACTAGCCACTTTGATACTATCTTCATTGCTTTTCTTCATTTATTTTGATCTTCTGTACTTAGCAAGCACTTCTGTTATCTTGAATCATACCCATTACCTATTTTCTTGGCTTCTACGTCTAGGCCACAGCACATGGCTAGAGAAAAAGCTCAGAACTAGCACATTCAGTATAATATAACTTAGTGTTAACTTCTGCCAAGATCCCGGCTTCTCTCCAATTCTTTTTCCTTTGCTTATATTCTGTCATGGCTATTTCCCCCAACCTTTTCCAGCATTCTGTGACCCTCTCTTTTAATTCTCTCTCCTGTGGCAGATGGCTTCACTTTTTTTTTCCACTTTCTATTTCATTGAAAAGTCAAGGCCTATCATTTTTGTCCCTTTTCTGTTCACAGCCTGATTTCTTGAATAACAGGTCTACACATACTGTTTTCATTTCCTTACTGCTTATTTGTCCCGTAATTCTTTAGTTTTGTTTCTAGCGCCAGCCTCTCTTCTTAGTTGCTAATTGCCTTTTCTAATTGATTGGTGAATAACTTTCATTCTTGAATATTTTGTCACACCTTAAATTCAATCTTTTCAATCATCCCAAAATCAGTATTTTTTTTTCCTTACTTATTTCTGTTAATGGCACCCTTGTCTTAGCCAAACCAAGATCAACTTTTTTTTTTTTAAGATTTTATTTATTTGACAGAGAGAGACACAGCGAGAGAGGGAACACAAGCAGGGGGAGTGGGAGAGGGAGAAGCAGGCCTCCTGCCGAGCAGGGAGCCCGATGTGGGGCTCAATCCCAGGACTCTGGGATCATGACCTGAGCTGAAGGCAGACACTTAACGACTGAGCCACCCAGGCGCCCCCAAGATCAACTTTTTGCACCATCTCTCTTTTTAATTTTAAATAGACTGTATTTTTTAGAACAGTATTATATTTATAGAAAACTTGAGAAGATGATAAGTCAATTACCATATACGTTACACTCAGTTTCTCCTATTATTAACATCTTACATTAGTATGATACCGTTATTACAATTAATGAACCGATATTGATACGTTATTTTTTTAAACTTTATTTATTGTCAGCAAAAGAGAGAGAGCCCAAGCAAGGGGAGCGGCAGGCAGAGAGAGAAGCAGGCTCCCCGCTGAGCAAGGAGCCCGATGTGGGGCTCGATCCCAGAACCCTGGGATCATGACCCGAGCCAAAGGCAGCTGCTTAACCGACTTAGCCACCCAGGGACCCCTGATACATTATTATTAACTATAGTCCATACATTATGTAGATTTCCTTAGTTTTTACCTAACTTTCTTTTCTATCCCAGATTCCCATCCCAGATACCACATTACTTTTGAGTTCTCATGTCTCCTTAAGCTCCTATTGGCCGTTGACGGTTTCTCAGACTTTCCTTGTTTTTGATGACCTTGACAGTTTTGAGGAGTACTAGTCAAGTATTTTATAGGATGCCTCTCTTTTGGAATTTGTCTGATGTTTTTCTCATGATTAGACTGGGGTTGTATTTTGGGGGTACAACCTCAGAGGAAAAGTGACATTTTCATCATATCAAGGGGCCTATCATAATGATTTTTTTTACAGTTGATACTGACCCTGATCACCTGGCTGAAGTATTGTTTGTAAGGTTTCTCCACTGTAAAGTTACCCTTTTGATCCTTCTCTTTTCCGTACTGTACTCTAGATGAAAGTCTCTATTCACAGCTGGTACTTAAAGAGTGGGAAGTTACACTTCCTTAAGGATGGAGTATTTGCATACGTTATTTGGTATTTTTCTGCAGATTTGTCTCTTTTCCATTTATTCAATCATTTATTTATAGCAATATGGACTTTGGGTTATAACCCAATACTATTTATTTTATTGGTCAAATGTTCCAGCTTTGGACATTGGGAGCTCATTTAGTTGGCCCTGTGTCCCTTTGACATACCCCAACAGTGTAGGTTTTTGTTTTTGTTTTTTTAGCTCTTCCTTACTTTCTGGCACTAGAAGATGCTCCAGGTTCGTCTTTTTGTTTCCTGTCCCAGTCCTAGAATCAGCCATTCTCCAAGGAGCCCCTGTTCCTTTTACTGGAGAATGGTATCAAGAAACCAAGATCAGAGCACTAGGTATTTTTGTTGTATTTGTTGCATCATCTTTTATTCCTCTCATTCCCCATCCCCTGCTATACACCAGTTGTCAGAATGTCATTTTTCTATTTCTACTGCCATTATCCTTATCCCATCTTCAATACTTGTCAGCTAGATGGCCTTGGGAATTTTAAACCTTGGGAATCTAAGCTTTAGTTTTCTCATCAGTGAAATTGGAATAATAACTCCTACAACATAGGATTATTGTGAGAATTAAAATTTAAATGAAAGAATGTACAGTTTTGGTACATAGAAAGTGCCCAGCAAATGGTTCTGTAATTATTACTATTATGTAATGATATGGATCAGAAGAGATTATATATGCAAAGTATTAAGCATAGTACTTGAGTCATTCTGCATGCCTGATAAAATTCCATTTTCCTTTATCCTGAAAATACTGCTGTGACCTCCTAAATAGTTGTCCTATCTCCAGTCTCTCTCTCTGTCCCAGTTCATATGACACACTGTTGCCAGATTACTGTTTCTTAAGTACAGATTTAGTTATGTAATTTTTGTTCAATATAAATCATTCACCCAGAGTCTACTGTTTAATTTGGCACATATCCTTCTGATCTTTATTTTTTCTGTGCATTTTAAAACATTTTTGAATTACATGGTATATACAATTATATTTTGCCTTTTCATTTAACCTTATG